AAAATGAATCGTATGATATATTTCATATGTATTTAATAATAAAAATAATGTTAAATCTTTCAACCATATTTAGAATAGAGATTAAATACATTCATCTTGTGAATATTGATGTTTTTCAAATTTATGAAAATTTTGCTAGTTATGATCATTAGGTTTATGAGCAATGAAAATTATCATAATTTGCACCATAATCATGCTTTAAATGGTACAAAAATCAATCTTTGAAAACTTCTTAAAAAATTATTGAATCAAATTTAGTATGAAAGATAACATGTATAGTCAAATTTTCATAAATCATATCAAGATATAATATTGCTTTATTTTGGATCTTATTGATCATTCATATGCATTCAAAAGTTAATTAAACAACCTTCAATTGTTGCGGATAGCAATTTCATAATAAAACAAACTACTAAATTGAAGATATATTCCTAGAAGAAAAACCAGAATAGACCAAAATGTTGAGTTTAACTTCAATTAATGAGTAACCTTAGGTTCTAGCTATTTATAGCTATGTGTGTCGTTGGCTTTGGGTATAAATATACCCCCAAAGCCAAGGCTTTAAGGAGGAGCTGAAGTATTGTGTATTCACTTGTCAGTAAATTTGCTCGCGTGTTTCAGCCGTGGACGTAGCTCTTGAGGGTGAACCACGTTATATGAGTGTATCGTGTGATTCGTACTTGGTATTAGGTTTTACCACGTTATATGAGTGTATCGTGTGATTCGTACTTGGTATTAGGTTTTACGTTAAGAAATGGTATCAGAGCCTTGTTTCGATTCGATATGCGTGTTGTAAAGTTGTGTCACTAGAGTCAAGATCGACTGAAAATTTTTTTGTTTCTTACAATTTTTTGTCAGTGACGGTTTTTCTGTTAGACAGGTTCAAGGTTTGTAGTTAAGTTGAAGATTTAAGTTTTTTCGGAAAGAACTCTGTTAGCGATAGTTTTTTGGCAAAAGTGACAAAGTTTGTAACAGAAATCATAATTTTTGGCAGCTATTTTGTTTCAAACGATTGTGCCTTTATTCTCAGTTCATGACATAAGTTTGACAATTTTGCTAATCAACTGACAGTTTCTTCAGCTTTTCTTTCACTTCGTGGCAATCCGGGACTGTTTTCTTCGAGCTGTTTTGTCGAGCTGCAGCACTGTTCTTTGAAGTTTTGCAGAAGTTCAAATTTCAGGAGTAGTTCGAGGTTTGAAGTTTGGAACTATAGAAGTTCGGGAGATTTTTGAGTTCAAATTTCGGTACTAGTTCGAGGTTCAAATTTTGGGAGATTTTTGAGTTCGAGAAGACCGAGGTTCGAAGGTCCGGATTGCACAAGTTCGGGAGAGGTTTGAGATCGAGAGGTTCGAAGTTCGAAGGTCCGGGTTCGAGTAGATTCTGGTTCAAAATTCGGGACTGCCAAGTTCGGAAGAAGTTCGAGGTCAAGAAGTTCGAAGGTCCGGGTTCGAGTAAATCCAGGTTCAAAATTCGGGACTGCAAAGTTCGGGAGAAGTTCGAGAGATCGAAGTTCGAAAGTCCGGACTGCAGAAGTTCAACGCTCTTCTCTATCGAAGCGCGTTCAAACCCTCTCGGGAAAAGAAGCACAGCACTAATAGGGTTCCCTTAGGTAGACGACGAGCGACCCCCAGCCCTGTGATTAGGGTTTCATCAGATAGGGCAGCGAGGAGCGGCCATCACCTCCGCGCAGCGGCTCACTGCGCGTTCAGACCCTCTCGGGAAAATAAGCACCGCGCTAACAAGGTTTCCTTAGGTAGAGGACGAGCGACCGCCAGCCCTGTGATTAGGGTTTCATTAGATAGGGCAGCGAAGAGCGGCCACCACCTCCGAGCAGCGACTCACTTCGCGGGCACTCCCTGCGCAGCCGTAGCCAAGCCAAGCAGGCAACTACCTGTGTGAATATGTGTTCTAGGAGGGATTTGAACCCACGACCTCCAGCGTGAGCGCGAAGCTCTAACCAACTGAGCTACTGCGGTGGACATATTGTAGAGACTTCCTAACATATAAGACTCGCGAGGCAGAAGGAATAGACTGAGGTAGACGGCCGCACGGTTAGGGTTCTGCACATTCGTAGTTGGACGTGGTCAGGGTGAGTACAACGTGGTTTGAAGTTGGACGTGGTTGAAATCGAAGGAGGTCACTGTGAACGTGGTCAGTTGTGGACGTGGAATCACTGTAAACGTGAACGTTTTATCAAACAAGCAGTGTCTGATAAAACGATTGAGCTAGTCAAGATCGACGGTAAACTCAATCCAGCTGATGCTTTGACCAAAGTTATCCCATTGGAGAGTTTCAGGCGACATTGTGCTACCATGCAAGTTGTGCATGGGGAGCACATGTAAAATTTGCTAGCATAGTAACTCTATTTATCTCTTTATGTTATTACTCTATCCTGTTATGGCTACGGTCTAGTTCTAGTTAGCTCTCGTGTAAAGAGGGGCCTTATGTTAGGTTTCTGTCTAGAACTTCCCGCTGAGTAATAGTATAGGTTTCAGAGGTTATTGTCTCCTTAACACGAGTTAAGGGGGGAGATTGTTGAGGTTAACTCCGGTTAGGGAGTAACCTCAGGTTCTAGCTATTTATAGCTATGTGTGTCGCTGGCTTTGGGTATAAATATACCCCCAAAGCCAAAGCTTTAAGGAAGAGCTGAAGTATTGTGTATTCACTTGTCAATAAATTTGCTCGCGTGTTTCAGCCGTGGACGTAGCCTTTGAGGGTGAACCTCAGTATATGAGTGTATCGTGTGATTCGTACTTGGTTTTAGGTTTTACGTTACAAAAGTGATGAGTTTTTCCACACAAGACTCGGAATAGCACTTAAAGTGAAAAAAATAGTATCTTAATCATCAAAATGACCAGATTTTATAAGCATTCTAAAATTGTGCTAGCTTCATTTTCTATATGTTACTAACCTTCTAATAACTGTAGATGAAAAGTAATATACAACATATTTATTGAAACTGTTCAAGAATCAAATTGATTGATGAAATGTATCAATTCATATGCACATGTTATCATGTTGAAACCATGAAATTTCAAGGAAATTTCAAAAGGAGATTCCAAGGAAATTCCAAGTAATTTCCTTTCAAATGGTTCCAAATTACTTGATGGATCCTTGGAAAACTCAACCTTCTTGATGGGACCCCACTCGACGTCCATGCAACTCACCGTTAGTCTTCCTACAATAAAAGTTCTTATAATTAGCGATGGGAGCAAAAGTAGGAGCAATCTTCCGATCCATTTACTTTCTTTATTCTCCTGTCACTTATAATGTAATCAAACCATCAAACATCATACCCTATTGCAAGCATGCACGGTTAGGTGCGAAACAAGACGAGATGCAAAAGAAGAATTATACACAGTCTTCCTTTCATTCGTTCTTCGTTTCTATCAATCGATCAATTAGTCATCAGGTCGGTGTCTTTATTCAAGAGTTTTGGTCACGGAGGACCGGCTGGCCGGTTCTAAGGAACTGAAATCCAATCGAATCCAATTCCAAAATCCAATTGAATTAGAAAATGAAACCCCGGGTTTTGATCAATTAGGTCAAAAGCAACGGCTACCATGAGTTGATAGGCATGTCTGAGAAAGCTACTTGCACCATGAGTTTGAAGTACTCATGATGTGATCTTGTCTAGACTTCATCTTCCTACCCAAGATAACACCATGAGTTTGAAGTACTCATGATGTGATCTTGTCAAGACTTCATCTTCCTACCCAAGATAACCCCAGATTGTAGTGGAACATCACTGACGGTGGGATGCAAGTTCGTCGATTGGATCTCATCAGGTAACTTAAAAACTGTTTGATCCCATCAAGTAATTTTCTCGGTAAAAGTAGAGACGGCATAGACTTTTCACCCTTTGATGTCATGAACAGAAGATTAGAAGATAATGTTAGAAAAAATAACACAAAGTTAAAACAGCAAAAAGATTTAAAAAAATTTAAAAAAATTTAATCAATTGTAGGGATTTAACAAAACAAAAACAGAAACAATGCATCATGGAGAAAAATCAATCTCAAATTCAATTGAAATATCCAGCCCCTGGTAATGCGCAATGTATTGTTTATGGAATTATTTACTTGATGGTATCCCATTGAACCTAAATTGCTTATTGGTACCTTTAAGTTTCATTGTACCCAATGCTACCCCACTGATAATACACGTTAGTCATGTTAAAGTATCTGCAAACTGTGCAGATAGTGAGACTTTCCTCATATGATCTTCCTCATCATGTGAATGTCCTCGTTGTACATTATTGAATTGCTCAAATCTCCACCGTAAGCAATCAGACCCGGATCCTAGAGACTTCCTAATTGCACCAAAATATGTAAAATTACCTCACACTTGAATTCACAAGTACTTCTCTTCCCTCCCCGTGAATTTATTCCACAGATTCCACACGTCTGTTATTGCTTACCACGTATGTTGTTGCTCAAATTGAGTAAAATTTTTGACAATTCAAAATCCAAAATCTCTGGACACTTGTGACAATGTTTTTCACGTTTTATCGTTTTGCGATTTTAGAGTTCCACTAAAGTCACATCATCAGAACATTAAGGGGTCTCTTATTTATGCTCCATCATCCGTGCTACACATGGGATCCTTAACGAATATAGCTGACAATATTTGAGATTTTAACGACAGTTTGAAGTATAATACCCGCCACATGACACAATCTTCGGTTGAGTCAACCGCAGGGTGTTTGGTCACTGCTTATCTACTGAAATTATTCTCGCTCGCTAAAGGTGTTTGCGAGTACTTTAAGTGCTGGAAAGATGGTTGGATGAATAGTAGTTTTCAAGTATGAAAGTAGTGAAAGTATGAAAGCAGGGGTTTGGGGGTGATCAACTTCTTAGGACTGTACGTGTTCGCTCGCAAGAGTCTAGCGAGTGAGGCATTAGCAACATCGCATGTAGAGCGCACACTCTGCAATTGTCTAATGTCATTGTGTGCATACAGTCATTGCACAGAAGAAGGAGGCGAAATTTAAAACGGATGGGAACTCAATAAAATTCATTAAATTATTAAATCTGTCGCGTAAATTAATTACACTTTCACATGCATAGTGCTATTTAGCACCTGCACGGTGTTCACCTACAAATTCGGAATGCCTACAAAATTAACTCTGAAAACTTTGTACATCCTGGACTCTCCTGTTAAATATAATGTCTATACAGGTATACTGAGAGTGTATAGTCCTTCAACTTTAGAGATGGTGTCATAAGCACTCGAGCTTTAAGCTCGGAATTTCAGCCAGTTGTCCGAAAGGACAGATCAGTATGCAGGAAAGATCAGTTTCCAGGGAATGAGGTCTGACATGGCCGATTATTCTGCGTTCGGAAGAATGTCAGAAGTGCCAACATTCCAGTCATTCTGACATGTGGAATGTTGGACACTCAAGCAATCCTGCGGACGAATTATGTGTGCATGACATTCTTCTTAACGCGTCTGGTTGATGGCCTTAGTTTTCATGAATTTCTCTTGGCTGTTTGATTGACTCAATCAAATCGTCAATAGCCTTGTCGGAAGATCCACCCCTTGACACAGCTGCCGCAGCTTTCCGGCCGAAACTGGCGGCATTGAACGCTAAGGCTTTTCCCAGTTTTTCAGGCGAAAATAATTTAAATGCGTTCTCGAATTCTAGTTGCTCCACTATCGGCGCCCTGTTGCTATCATCTCTGATTCCGATGCCGGCTTTGAGAACCTGTTGTACGTATCTGCAAATTAAACAGTCGAGAGTTATTTTGAAATGTCAACGCAGTTTCTGTTCGGTAGTTTTTTCTACAGTAAAAAATTAGATTTGACTTTTGGATCTTTAAAACAGAGAAATACTGTACACTGAGCTTCTGCTATTCAACGTGAGTAGGAATCATCAAGATCAAGGTCAGCAACGTAAGTCCCACGCGCGCGCTGTACCGGCAATTGAAGTGCTGCTCGGCCACATGTGGCCAGCCTATTATCGGCACACCACATGTCATGCTCTCGAGCACGGACTGCCACCCGCAGTGCGATACAAACCCGCCGACGGACGGGTGAGCCAGCACCTGGAGCTGCCCGACCCATCCTGTCACGACCAGGCCGCGACCACATGTTCGAGTCAGAAAGCCTTCGGGGAGAACGTCGTCCAGAGTATTGAAGTTGCCGCGCCCCTTCGACAGAACCCAGAGGAATGTCTGGTGGCTAGCATCCAAAGCTCGAGCCAAATGTCCAATTTGCTCCTTCTCCAATACAACTTGACTGCCCAAACAAACGTAGAGAACTGATTTGGTGGGCTGTTTCTCGAGCCACTCCATACACTCCGCATGAGAATCATCCGTATTACTAACGTATGACTCGTTTCTGAAGCTTCTCAGATCGGAGATCGGCCCAACAGGAAACACCCGCGTCGCCTGCACTGGCCATTTCGTCACACACCATTCAATAAAAGCACAAAAGAGAAGTTTCGTAAGATGCATGAAAACAGGGGACATTTCGAAACACCCGTCGACGATCTTCAGCGACTGACAAACTCCGGCCCCAATCGAATGCACAGTGCACTGGCGGCCACCACAGGCAGCGTCTGAACCTAAGACTCCGAAGGTGAACGCAAGATCGAGACCATAAAATATCAAATTTAAGCCTGGATGAATATCAGTATCGGCAGGTTGGCGTTCTCCCTGTGGGCTCTCGAGAACGCCAACCTGCCGTTCTCGAGAGCCCACAGGGAGGAGCATGAAACAAGCACTGTTCCTGCAGTCCTGTCGGGTGGCTAGCAGCCCCCAGATCACAGGCGCAATGCACTCCAATTTATACTGACGTTATGGAAAGCTCAAGAGTTTTGAAAGTAGACACGACTGGTTATTGATCCATACATCGGGGTATGTGAGCTTGAGTATTACACCTTTTGACGCCTGCTCCCGGGGGAGCCATTTCGAATTGCCTCGACAGCTTTACTCTCCAGTTCGCTGAAAGAATTCATCACTACGCCTTCTGCAGTGCAAATGTTTCTGCCAATCTCAATGGCAAAGTCAAACCAGCCATTCGATCGACTGGCCCCTGGTAGATCACTCGCTGACGACAAAAACTCAAGACCCGGCTTGCCGTGGAAGATTTCGAACCAGTCTCGCTCCCAGTCGGGGCCATCTGGTATCTGCTTCAGGTCGTCTTCAAATTCGTGATATACCTGCATGAGTCTTGTAGTCACAGCTGCGTAACTGGCATACGCATACCTCGGAATGTCGAGCTGCTCTGCATACTCCTGTAGTTGAAGGTCCGACATATAACGTCAAGTCCGGAAGGCAACGCTCACGTTCACAACACGGACCCCGCAGAGGCACACGTATCGAAGCCAAACATATAGGAGTCGGACAGCTTTTGGCTGCAAATCTGCAACTTGTGAAAAATAAATTCTAAACAATGCTAGAAATTCTAAACAGTAGCGGTCATTCCATGGCGCTGTAGAGCGCGTATTCATACCTTCGACCAGGTGAAGAATCTGTCGGCAAGCATGCAAGTGGGATAAGGCGACCCGGCCTTCTTCTTCCCAAGAAGCCTCTGCAGCAGGGGCCGGCAACTTTCCTCCATGCATTTGGCCACATTGAGGGGACTCCAGGCGCTCGGAAGTTTGGGATCGATCTTTGGGTCCTCGACAACTTCGACGCTCAGCCCGAGCTTCAGGAGACCTTCGGGGGTGTAAATTTTGTTCAACGACTCCGCATGCTTACTGATGGTCACGATAGTGATCTTCAATCCTCTCGCTGAGAGTTTCTCTGCGAGTCTGATGGCCGAGGCAAAATGCGCCTGCATTATCATCGGTATGAAAAGCAGATGGTGCGAATTTCCAGTCCCATTCTCCTCCCTGTCCCGGCTACCGACAATGGTCTCCATGCTTAACAAGCGCCAGCTGCGCGGAGGTCGAAAAATTCTTTAGGTCTTTAGTCGACAATTGGAATTCTCAATGCCAATCGATACATGCAGCACCCTGCAAGTGCCCGGGTTTTCTTCGAACCGGAAGTTATTATAGGTCTCGTCATTCGTGCACGTGTCGCCTCAGCATCGCCAACGGTTTTGGAATGGGGTACACGCGTTGAATTTTAAAGTCTTATGCCGCACTATCTTATGATTACTGTACATACCTTATTTTGTTGCGATGAAAAATCACTTCTATTGTTCACTTCAAGACAACTGCTTTCGTTAATATTCTATTCTTCGGTTCTTCATTCTCTTCGTACCTGCCACACAAGCACTCGTCACTCTTGGTAAGTGACGAGTTATTTATGAATAGCCCATAGTGCAAAAAATTCTTAAAGTTGACTCCCGCTTTTTTTGTCCAAAAAGTAGGGTTCAAGATTTATTCTGTTCAACATGTCAGATTGTAATTCGGCTAAAGTTTTGTAGATTCTTGACTTTTCAAACCAATTTTTGATTGACCTGTTTTCATTTGGCAGTGGAAGTTTCTATTTCGGTAGTAGGACAAAACAAGTCGATCATTATCATATTGGGCTAGAGTTTGTCTGAACCCTTCAGTATAGGATTGGTTACCTTGTTGTCCCTCTGAGCGACTTGTGATCGATGCGTTAAGGCCAGTACCAAGATGCTGAAAAGTCTTCTTTTCAGTCTCATCAGATATTAAGACAGATCTTTCTAGCAGTTGCTCACGCTTGTCTCACACATTTCTTCACAAACATCAAACTTATTAGAGTATTTTTATTGTAATCGTAATTGTTGCTTGCTTCTCTATTGTATCTCATTGTTGAGGTTCATTTAGAGATTCCTTTTTGATTTTATTAACATTGCATTTAGAAAGTGATTCACCTAAGTAAACACATTACTACAAAGTTCAAGATGACTACTCAGGCGGGAGAGTACTGTACATTATCCTCTACAACCTTTTAATAATCTTCTAATCATGCCTTAGCTTTTGCATCATTAAAATTGATGGGAGACAACTTCATTCACCAATTTAATAATTAAAAAACAATTTTTCATAATTATGTTCACAATTATTTTTCCAACACATTCACACAACACAAATATTGTTGTGTGGACATTACCTTGCAATATGTCTACTTCAACTAATTTTTTGCATAAATTCACAATTCATTATAATTGTGTGAAAAATGAATATATGAAATATAATAATTATAATGTTGGAAACTAAATATATCTGAATTTTTTGAATAATTTTCACAAATCACAAGAAAAAAGTAAAGCAAGAGCTTGTTGTCCATTTTTTATATATATTCATCCAAAAATTTGTAACCATAAGATTTTAGTTCACAATCTTAAAATTTTGTTCATTTCAATCATTTTGTTTCAAACGTTTTTTTAATATATAGTCATTCCTGATCATACAAGTTGATCTTGACTTGTATGATCATACAAGTTCTTTGAAAAACAGCTTCAAACTACTTGTTATTTCTAGTCATGAGACATGGAAAATATTGTCCTTCTTACATCATTATTATCATCAGTCATTTCATCTTCCTCTTCACATCGAGCTCTAGATAACCTGTCTTCCACCTTATAGTACATTATCATGTCATCTTTCAAGTTTTATCAAGATAGAGTTCACTTTGCAATACAAAATTCATCCCTCAAAACTTAATTAAGATCAGTCAGCCACTCAAAATTTGACAGCAACTTGCGTGCATGTGTTTTTATTTGTTTTTCATAATAGCTTTCTAGTTGTTTTTTTGAAGTAGCAACTTCTTTCATCACATGATGTGAAAAAATTTATATCAGATTTCAATCGTCATTTAACACATCTCTGTATTAAATAACCTGTATTTCAACTGTCGTCATACTTTCTTTTTTTTTTTATCTTTTCCATCTTCTTTCATGTAATGTTTTCATGTACAATCATGAACCAACATGAAATTTACTTAATCTTATGATTTGATATTAGCTTAAGTCTGCATTTTTAATCTCAAAAAAGATTCTTTTACTATTACTTTTGTGTCTACGGTAGTAAATGCATCTGAGCATAGTCCACAAAGCAATACCTTGATTTTGAATTCAATCCCTTCTTCTCCAATCTTCGTACTATGCGTGAAAACTTGTCTTATCCAAATTGTCTATGTGAAAAAATTTAGTGATATAAACAAATTTGCAATTTTTATTGGTGAGTAAAAAAATTAATCCATATTCTGATGTGAAAGTCTTTCTTTAATTAAAATAAACGCCTCTACAAAACCATAAACTATCTTACCCTTTAAAAATTATATCCTAACGTCGCAAAAATCTCTACAAAATTTTCCCATTTTTTCATGTGGATAATTGATCTTATTTCACCATATGCATTTCACAAGAAATGTTTGATTGTGAAATGTTTTCTCCATGATTTTTGTGTCCATCATAGCAACCTTGATCTTTCGGTTTTTTCTTTTGCTTCATAATGACATCAATAGATGCATCATACTTACTATTGTTCACAGTTGGAGCTTGATTGCTTGGCGGTTAATTTAATTTTCTAATATATGTGGGAAAAGAGACTAGAATTAGCAATAAAAAATGTACTATATCATGTAGTACCTCATGTTTGTTGATTTATTTCTCAAATCCAATTAGTCCATTTATTTATCGTGACTGGCAACATTTTCTTGCAAGATTTTTCGTGTGTCTTGTTGTGTAGTTTTTGCTCCCTGAATATTATAAAAACTTTGATAACTTTGTTGTATCAGGATTCAACTCTATTTTATATAGTTTAGCTTATCTACTTCATCCGTCCATATCTATTGCAACAAGATCAGCCAATAGATTACTTCCAGTCCTCTTAATTGTCGCGTCAACTTGTCCATCAAGTATCCAAAGGCTTTCATATAAGCGCTTCTTATCTTTATTTGTGGTTAATTATCTTTTAAAAGTATCAAATATCACCTTGAGCATTTTTCAAAGAACAGATCTCACTTTCAACTTCTCATAGGAGAAATATCCAACGCTTCTTATAATGATAACCTGGTGATCAAATCTAAGTCAATTCTCTAAAATCAGACGTCCAAACATGAAGCTAACATGTACAGTAAACAAATGTTAAAGGTAAGAAAGCATTTTCGATAGTCAAACTTTTCCATCCACCCATGATAGATTCTTGTCGTTTTTAATTTTTGACATATAACAAATTTAAGCTTTGTCCAAAGATTTATCTCTACAAAGCGTCTTACAATACTTCTAGTTCAACTATCCGAACAATTTGAATCTCAATCACACCTCAAAGTTGAAGTTAATTTCTTAGATTTAGTCTTAAAACAATGAACGTCTTCACCTCCAATTCAATTTGTTATAGCGTAGATGAAAAAGTCTGAGCAAAATTTTTTCAACTCAAAATTCCACGTCATATTCACTAGTTTTGTAGCATCGACATAATTTTGATCGAAGATTCTCCGTGCTGACTTTAGAGGTTACTAATAAGTCTCAACGATAAATAGTTCTCACCACCTCGCTGGAGATAATCGCCAATCAATTGTTGGTAGGATCTCATATTCCGTGCTCTGAGCATTTTGTAGTGCCGGTCCGTAAACCTCAAAAACGTCCAACTGCAAAGTTATTCTTCACAATCACAACATTTTGTAATATTAGGCAATTATCCAACATTTTTCATAGTGACACAAAGATGAGGAGATATTGACCTTCTAGAGAGTTGTCGCCTTGAGTATCGTGACGATCATACGTGATAAAACTTCACACCATCCCGCCAGTTCATTTTAAACAAGTTATTTAATGATTTTTAATTCATCATGATTGTTGTTTGACAAAAGTTAAAAAACTACTATATATTTCCCTTTTTTATGTCCGTTTTTAAAAATAAGTGCTGCTCTTTTCGCTACGCGCAAATTCTCATTGGATTTTGTTGGTTCTTAACACCGATGGCTATTTACTGAAGTGTCTAGTAGCACCCTCCGATTTTCAACAAGGTGAAAATTATCGCATTATATATGTGCATGTCCCTGCACCTTGGATGAGTTTACTTATGTACAGTGCAATGGCTATTAGCAGTGTGATATTCTTATTAACAAACATTCACTTTTTCAGTTCTATCACTAAACCGCTGCCGAAATAGTGCTTCGTTTACGTTGTTTACCCTAGACGCGGGGTGGGGGAAACCTATGTGGGGGTACATTTTGCGTGTGGGATGCTCGTTTAAGCTCTGTATCAATCTTGTTTTTTTAATTACCTGGATGCACTGCATTTTCAAGAGTTTTCTGAGAATGTTGCTTCTATTTTTATATGTATAAGGCTAATCAATATACCAATAATTATGTTTTCTATCAACTGGTGGAATACATTGATTTACATTCAACCTTGAAGCATTAGACAATTTGGTACTTCAATACATATTTCTAAGCTCATTACAATTTGTTAATCTTAGCTAGGTTCGTGTTTTTAACTGGGAATTCATTTCTCGTTAAAACACTTCAAATAATTCAATCTTCTTATTTTCAGCGAAAAAGCCAATGACTTTCCCAAAGCCTTGTCAATTTTTGCCGTTTTTCCTCACTTTTCTCCCCCTATTTTGTCTTTTGTGTGACAAATAATAATTGTAATAAACCCTAACGAAACCAACTATACGGTAAACTAAGTTCTTTTTTTGCCAATTATAAGTAAAGTTTATAATGTTGTGTCATAGGAATTGGGCCATCAATTTTCTTGTTATGGAGTATTTTCATTGTAGTAGTTTGGTGTTGTAGTTCTATTGGAGCAAAAAATTGATAATTTGACGAAAGAACTCATAATTACTAGAGGTGAAAGGTGTACTGCCTCCACTTTCACTGTTACCAGAATCCAAAAATGATTTTTTCGATTCAATGAGCTTGTGCAGATTGGTTTTGGAACGCAAGTGTAACCCTTGTGTGCCAAAAGCTTAGATAAATTCTGTTGGATCGAGAAATCTTGAGCAAATCCAGTTTAGTTAAATTCCAATGACACGTCATCGAAACCATCGCAGAAACACGAATTACAACATATTCATATTAGAATTTTTATTAAAATTTACCAAAAGTACGTCGCAGACGAAATTGCATCATGGTGATTGAAATTTGATGAATCACATCAAACAAATATCTCTCAATGATATCACCCTATCATGATGAGTCCACTGAGTCCGGAATTGGATACCCGTGAGATCGGTGTGCCAATGAAAAGAACTGGGGCGGCTACATCGCATTCCCTTGTTAATAATAATATATTGCGGAGTCAGCAGCCGTCATGGCATTCTTCTCTCGCTGGACGCCAGAAAGCGATACGCTTTGAAGAATCGCTTTGTGTTTGGCTGCCTACCACATACGGAAATATCTGATACAACTGGCCTCGTTCTATGGACGATCCCTGGTTTGCCTTAACTCGACAGAGTCACTTCATATTCTCGTGAAAAGGAGTACTACTGAATTCGTGAAGATGCGCACATTCATCTGCCTGTCCCCACAGTGTGCTATAGGTCGTGGAGTCGTCCGCAACCCTAAAGGCATCAATGCCTGACAAAGGCGAGATTTTTCCCCGCCTCGGTCTCCGGGCCTTTCACCTTGCGAGGTCTCTGAGGCTGTCGTGTCCTCCAGGTCAGCCTAAAATTGTAGCCTGTTTGCATGCATTCGGGCGTTACGTACGGCGATGCTTCAATTCTCTTAACGGATTCCACCGTGAACTTCTGCTGGCGCCGCAAGTTGAAAATCTTTGTCTTATCTTCCGCTTTCCTGGAGCCGTTTTGTAATTGCCAGAACGTGGGTTCCTGGAGGGGTTTTAAGGTGGGGGTAGGGGGAAACGGCCGAGTAAGGAGAAATCACCTCTTTCTACCTTATCCTGGGTGTGTCGGAGACTTGCAACCGTTGGTTATCAAATGCGGTAGCTGTCGTGTGTCTCTGACCGCTGGATCTTCCTCCAGCACGTATTTGGAGCTGTCGAAGCTTCCTGAGTCCTGTACCTCTCAGTCGCCCTCTACAGTATAGCATCCTCTGCATCCTCAAGAGAAATCGTGGGTTCGTGGGCGTTCCATGAGCTCCCTTCGACATACTGGAGCTCCCTGTTCGTTCCGTACAGTGTGTACAGTTGTTCTTCACCTAACCAGAACTCCTGGGATGCACTGCTGTCCCGGGGAGTCACATTGTGTTAAATGAGTAAAATGAATCGTGGGTCCAGTGTTTTGCGTTCCGCAGGCGACCCATCAAGTAATTTTCTCTCCGCTGTCACGTTAACTTCCGGCTTTATGGCCTGCTGAATTGCATCTGCCCTTCTCTCTCCTCGACCTTTTCTCTGAACGAGCCCTGGACTAATCAGATTTGTCTGTCATCTCGACCTTTCAGATTTCTAGAAATCGTCTCCCTCACGAATTCAAGAAGACGTCTGTACTTCTCCAAGGGTTCACGGTTTGATTACAGTGTTCTGACATTAACTGGAACACCAAATTTTCATCTCGCTCTTTCTGAATATATGCTATTAAGGGCTAGTCCTGGAAGTTATAGATTCTTCTGCTGTCACCTCTACCCCCAAACTATTGTCCCTCTCCAGGACTCAGTGAGAGGGACGATAGTTTGGGTGTCTCACTGTCACTGAGTCCTCGTTATATCGAGGACTTAGTGACAGTGAGAGTGAGACTTCTGAACAAGTCCCGGACGAAGAAGACATATGTGCTGTCATCTCAATTTTCACAATCTGTCTCTCTGAGTCCCTTATTTGTTATTCTAGAGATATTTGCCCTTCTGGACGACTCATGGACGATGTGGAATTTTCTGCTGTCAACTCAATTTCCAATTATTTGTCTCCCTCATGCAGTCCTTGAGTTTCCTGCTATCTGGGAACGAGACATGGACGTTGCAGAAGTTTCCAATATCTCAACCCTTAGGACTTCGTCTCTCTCCCGAAGTCCTGGAGCATCCTGCACCTCTGTAAGGGGCACTGACAGAACAAGAATCTTCTATTTTCAATTCGACAGTCGATATCTTGTTTCCTTCAATGGAACCTGAAGGCACGTCGAAAAGAGCAGCTTGTTTTAGCTTGTCGAAGGGACAGCTGGAAATTGTCTCATATGTGTCTCTAATATCGACTTCATGGTTAAGAACTACCAAACCGCCCTGCACTTCAACTTTCAGGCGATGAATGGCTTTGGTACAAATGTTAACGACAATACTGCAGACTTGACAGAAAAAACTGCGCCAGCGCAGCGAAGAGATCCAATTCACGAGCAGTCGCTGGCTCCGTTCGCTATCTTTGAAAATCATAGCGCAGAAAGAACTGATACGGAGAAATCCAACCAGAATGACTTTGAAATCATAGCGCAGAAAGCACTGACACGGAGAAATCCAGGCAGACTTTTTCGGTTGCAGATTTCAATCCCCGTGTTATAAGACCCAGTGAGTGTAACCTTCGGATCTAAAGATATTACGTCATCCACTTGTGCGCTGAGGCCGTTAGAACCCGAGATGTATGTACAGCGGACGAAGTAATGAGTTTGAGATTTAGACCTGCTCTACAAATCAGGATTCCTCCCTCCCAACCATCAGGAAAGAAAATTAAGAAACTTTTTTGATATCGACTTGGATATTTACAACAACATTTGGATTCCAGCAGATTCAGAACACGGCTCGGAACCTAAGAAAGTCCAGTTGGTAAAGAATAACCACGGTTGATGATATAAACCAGCGCTGCAAGGTGAACGTGCTGCATGGCAAAGAGCATGGCACGAAATTCAACGAATCATGAATGACTGAATGAAGCGAGATTTGCTTATAGATGTTCTTCATGTTCCATCTACCTTCAAAAGTCCTTCACTCTCACGGAGCCCTGAGAGCCTCAAGTTGAACTCATTTCATGCAGGCGAGCTCGAAGAAGTCACAGGAGGTGTGCTCCAGAGGCCAACATTTTACTTCAAATCTGTATCCAGACCAGACCACAACCATCAACAGCAACCTTTGCCCACCCATGCTATTCAAATTAGGCCAATAGTGGTATGTGTATTACCCGGTTACACCAATTCTTGGTTGGATGTGACAAACACTGCCCATAGCATTACTTGCGCCCACCCATGGAAAAATAAATGTCACCCAAAACCCATGGGCATGGGTGGGTTTGGGGATGGGTACCCAATGTTGGGCTCTGGTGTGCTCATATAACTCGCTACGTTGCGAGGGCTCCACATGAGCTCCACATGGTGTGCTCACAAGGGGCTGGTGGGGCGAGGGCTGGTGTCACGTGTAACTCGATACAAAACCAGAATCAAAGAAATTGTGAAATGGCCACCCGCTTCAAGGCGACATATTTTGACATATAGTAATAACAAAAATCTTGTCGCCCTCTGCGGGTACGCTTAAAGAGGACTTTAGTTAAGGCGGACTGGATCGAGCTGTAGAATTTAGTTCGAGACAAAATTTAGATGAAACTAGTTTCAAGTGATCATAAATCGAGTTGAATCTTGTGCTATCATTCATCTCCAGTATACAGTAGTTATAGTTCGTAAATCCTAGTACGACCTCAATTTCGCTCAATGAATCTTGTCAAGCGTAATAATATATGATCTTCAGGAGGTCAGACACAATTAATATGAGGATACTAAAGATAAACCAGTTGGTCAAAGAAAAAGAGATATGGTTTGACGTTTATTGTGTCTTCCGAGTGAACATGGACTCTCATATAACATGCTCCGACAATAGCTCCTACATTCTGAAGATGCTCTCTGCAGCCTAGATTCCTCCACTTCCTAATGATCCTCCATCCACAGTGTGGGCTACATCGATCCTGTGCTATTGAACCTTCAGAGCCTGTAATTCATCGGCACTTCCTGGTTTACTTGAGTAGGATCTAGTCGAATGATATTGGCGAGACTTTCGGACAGCCAACAAGCCTGCCTGACTTCGGTATAATGATCCTCATCTGGAAACCAGATTTTGGCCAGGTACAGAATATTGCCAAATGCATCTCTCATTTCTGTGTCCCATTCCATCTGGGTCTCTGAGATACTATTGTATTCTCTATTCATGTCCCCTCTGTCTGCTACATAACCAGCGAGTTCGCACAAGATTGAAACGAGAATTTCATCAGGGAGACCGGACGCGTTTTTCAATTGAGTGAGATCTTGCACCATTCTGGAGTCGAAAGGGGTCACATGCTCTTCGTCGATGTAAGCCATTAGGATGTCCCTTGCGGGGATACATGTCACTTGAACGATACTGTCGAACATTTCAGGAGTCAGCGAGTTCCTATCTGTAGAGAAACACTCTTCCAACACCTTTTTCACATAGCTCCAACCTGTGACCGGTTTTTTAGCATATCTTCCTTTCTTCAACATGTAGTAGCCCATCCAAACTCCCAGCAAGATCAATGCCCAGGTCTGCACGTTATCTCTTCCTCTGACCTCTTGAGGCGCCTTCTCTTCTGACGCTATCACATTTGTCCTCAAATTGTCGGCCTCTGAAGGAGCTGCAGCCACGTGGCTTGCTTGCTCGGCATTGATCACCAGTCGGCAGGTTCTAGAGGTTCGAAAAACGGGCTGAAAAAAGTGTGAATGGATTTGGAGATTCAACGATGAGAAGCTCGTTGGTGTTGTGACTATCGGAGTGCGAACCGACGACTGCTTGCACTGTGAGCCCTTCTTCGACGACAGGGCTGCTGAATATGCTCTCAGCTGCAAGGGAAATTTCAGAGTCAACGCCATCGAACTCAGTCAGTTGCCTCCTTCGAGCTCTCTTCAATCCTTCCCTCACTCCCTCCCTCCCTACCTCTCGGACGGAAGATCGACGATTCTCGCCGGGCCAACTCGACTGCTCGTGCAGTCTAAGGTCTCGAGTTTCTCATGAGAGAGTTGGACTCGAAGCCTCTGCCACTGGAGAACCGTGAGCTCACTTTGCCAAAGTCTGGGCATCTCCTTAAGTAGTTGGCCACTGAAGTTCTTCCGAGCGTTGCCAGATTGTCGAGAGCTAGATCTCCATCACTCAGACTGAACGTTGGGTCTGATTTTTTTAGAGGGAACGAACGGGAAACTCCCAAGAGTGACCCAACAGCAGTCTGATTCTCACTCGTCAGCTGGCTGTAACGACACTTCTCATCGGTCACGAGAGGAAGTCGAGTCTTTTAGAATTCAACGGATGATTTGAAGCTACGGCTGGAACTGGCCACTTTGAAAGTGGCAGGACTTGTTGGGCAACGAAAAGCCCTCGATCAAAGGGTCTGAATTGTGCTGATTCAACGAGTACAAGTTTTTCGAATTTCAGAGGCTGAAACTCAGGATTTCTCCAAGCGTTCGATAGCATCCCCGGGCCGAAGCCACGTTCTGTTTGACGGTGGAAAACGAGTTCATCATCCAGAAACCAAGACAACAAACTCATCCATGAACCATTGAAGAAAAACCTCCGCAAGAGGAACATACATGAAGAGGACCATAAACTACAACTTTGAAGTCTGGAAACTGAAATTATATTCTTTGGCCGTGCATCATATTTTTATGGGATTCATCGTCACATTGGATGAATGTCTGCTTGACCATCTTTCAAACGCCTCTGAGAGGCGCATGAGAGGCTTAAGATGAAAATTAAAGCATGCAATCTTCAGCCAGCAGTCATTGTGGGAAACAGGTAGGCTTTATGGGGCTGGATTTCATCACTTGAGAATCTAAATCCCTGTCTGCAATTGTAAGCACTTCTGAAAGTGTCTTACAGTGAGCAGCATCTTCTATCTCCTCCTCCACTATGGAGACTTGAACTCTTCCATAGGCCGAAACTTCCAATTTAAGAGTCACCGAAGATTAAAGGATCTTTTCGAAGTTTCACAGCGTCCTCTTCGGTCAGCTCGAATGCCTCCACGACTTTGGACGAATCCAGATTATCTGGAAACCAGGTTTCAGCCAGGGAAAGAGTTTTGGTAAATGCAAGCCTCGTCAGTCTTTGATCTTCCAATTCCCATTCCGTTAATCCCGTCGTGTCTACACACAAGGGTCCTCCGAGCCTCACTATCCTCCTACCGATCTCGCACAGTATGTCAACGACGGCTTTATCATCGAGGTTCGACACTCTCCTCAAGTGAGTGAGGTCTGCCACTAGTTCATCATCGAAAGTTCGTACAATCAGCACGTGGTGGATGTATGTCGTTAAGACGGCCTCTCTGGAAATGCCGTTCTCCTTTGCAATATTGTTGAAGATCACGGGAGTCATGGTGCTCCTCGCTGCAGGGAAATATCGATCCAACTTCGTACACAATCTCTTAGCCCTCAAAGACGACTTCACAAGAAACCATCCCGCTCTCCAAACCCTGGTCGTGAAGTAGCCCAGGCAAAATCCCACCAGCACAGCTGTCATGGCCTGCAAGGAGGTGCTTTCATTCGGGTCTAGAGGCACCTTCTCGTCTGATGGGATCATACTTGCCATCAAATTGTCAGTCTCCGAAGGAGCTGGAGACTTGCCACTTCCTTGCTCAGTACAGGCGACTGATAGGCGGCATCTAGAGGTTCGAAACGCAGGCTGAAGAAAATATGAACGAGTCCTGAGATCCATCGATGACAAGCTCGTCGAGGCTTTCAATAACGGATTATAAGCAAAAGCAAGCTTGCAGGGTGGCCCCTGGGTCGACGACAGGGCTGCTGAGCTCAATCTGAGCTCCAAAGGAATTGTCGAAGTCGAAGCCATATTTTTTAAAGATTCTCTGGAGCTCTCTGTATTTTATCCGTCCCTTTGTCCCAGACTGAAGACTGACAAAGCTCGAAAGGGGATGTTCGACAGGAGGTCTTATCTTCCTACGATCTAGAGCTCCTTGAGTAGGACTCCAGCCCCCTCTCACGAGAGAATCAGTGACTTGTGTTTATATTCATCGTGGCCAACTTTGGCTCTTGCGAACGCTGCAAATTTCAGGAGGGCTAGTTCTTCTTCATTGCCCTGGACCGATTGCTCAGTGGGAACGAGTTTTTTATAACCTCCTGAAGAGTCTCACAACAGCACGAGATCGTCAGCAGTCTCGATCGGTAGAATCATCTATCTCAACAGCCACCTTGGAGAATTTGAACACCAACTCGAAACAAATGGCGGCACTGGCCGATTATTTATTCGTTGAATGCAACAATTGAATTTTCTTTGTTGAATTGCCCCTGTTGAATTAGAACTCGTTGAATGCAACATACAAATCCAGTGCGACGACAGGTCGCGTTTGGTGCGCATTTCGAGTTGGTGAATATCGTTTGAGCTCCAGAAGTACGTTGGATGTTCAAATCGCTTAAGGGCATCCTCGGGTCGAAAACACTTGACACTTTGGATAACAAGCCGTACATCCTACCACACATTGGAGGCGCTTAGGAGAATGATACTGATAGAAGACGACGAACTGAAATTTCAGAATCCCGATTGAGGAGGACATTTAGCTTCTTAGCTTCTTTGTGTATCTCACGAAACACCTGAAAATGAAAACAATTAATGCGAAGTGCGGGAAGTGGTAGTTTATCATGTCTACTCGGAATCGGGCAATCACTTGGAGTGAAAATGACCAATCGGTGTGCCATCGTGTGAGTGCATAATCCGACCTTGCATGCGCATTGCTGTGATGCCCATTAAGACAACAATCGGAACCAGACTCATCCGTATTGGAAGATGGACACAGTTTGAAGAACTTGGCTGTAGAGTGAATCGAGTTATGTACTTTGAAATCGCAAATTCTACATTAAATTCTACTCTACATCTACATCGCAAATTCCACCTGGTATAAGCCTATTCATATCAGATTCTGACATCTCTGCACTCTAATTTACTCGACAAAAATCACAGCTGTTATCATTCTAGCTCTGATCAATAATGCAGCTAGCACACATGTTTGGGATGACTCTGTGAAGAACAGAGACTTAGCATGGCTCGATTGATTTATTTCTGCCGAAGTTTGAGTTGACCAAAGTGGCAGGTCCGAAAGAACACTCATAGGTTCCTCATCATCCTCCATTGTCTAGTGCGCTTTCAAAATTATTCTGTGTTCTAGATCCTGGACACATCTGGACTTGTTGCGAAGAAGGAAAGACTCTGTGAGCTACCGATCATAAAGAATCAATCCGAAGATTCTCAGCATCCCTTTCAGTTACTTCAAAAAGTGACATAATGATCTCAGGAAACTTGTTATCTACAAACCAAAACCGATGGAGCTCGGCAAGATATAAAATTTTGCTGAATGCAGCCTGAACAGATGCATTCTTTTCCAATTCGTGTTTCCTTGAACCCGTATTGTTCGTAACCACGTGCCCTTCAGTCCTCACAATCCTCTGGGAGATGGCGCACAGGATCTCAAGTATCGTCGCATCATCAAGTCCTGACACTCTTCTGAAGTGAACCAGATCTTCCACCAGTTCAGCATCAAAAGTCCTCGTCTCTAGAAGGTGAAAAAAGTACAACATCACAACCTCCTTCGGATAAAATCGATTGTCCTTGGCAAGAAGTTTGAACAATTTTTGAGTCATATTCTTCCTCTTCGCCGGATAAAATTGATCCAACACTGCAAACAAATTCTGAGCCTTGATCTGTCGAACTTTGTTGGGGAGAGAAAAAGAAAGTCTCAGAATGATAACCGAAGCTGCGATCAAAGTCAACCAGCGCAAAATTTTAGCTGCAGTACCACTGGGCCCTGGACGTTGCATCGCGTTCACTACCGAAAGCGTGGAACTCGGATTTGATCTTTCCCCGGCCGAAGGAACAGGACCTGGCGCTTCTTCGCTGGAATGTTTGGCATTGATTCTCATATGACAGTGCCTGGAGCCTCGAAACACGGAGTGATAAAATGAAGGATCAGCTTTGGATTTCAACGATGGGAGGCTCGCTGCAATGTTCATTACCAGACCAAACGTCAAAGGCTCCTTGCTCTGTGACAACTGCGATAATTTCACAGAAAATGCTTTGAACTGAAACTGATTCCTTAGTATCGATTCCATCGCCTCCAAACCTAAACCTATATCACTCCTTACTTTCCTGCCGGACCGAAAGAGTAGATGCGTCTCCACAGGGCAGACTGATCGGTCTCTGGATCCAGAGAGTTGCTTATCACCATTCTCTAGATCCAGAGGCCAAGGGGCTTGGAGCTCTCATCAGCACATAATCGATGCAACGGGATTGATTTTCTTTGGCCAAATTTGTACCCTGATGGTTTAAACGTTGAAGAGGGTCCGGGAAGTTTGACTTGACCAGAAACCTCAAATACGTTTCGAACCTATCGATTATAACATTCAATTTTCAGTATCAGGAGCTCTGATCTTCTCGGTCTGAAGGAGAAGTGCAGCCATATGGAGGTTGAATGCCCATTTCAATAGAGCTTCAACTAACTAACTGAAATTGTTGACAATGGCTAGTTTTAAGCGGGATAACTCGCTGAAATTGGGGCCAAAATTTGTAGAGGTTTCATGTCTCAACAGAAATTGAACGGCTTATTTATAAAAAAAAGCCTCTGCTTTAGATGCAGGAGGACGTTGGATTACACAAAGTGTTGCATACCATCCCGGAAACAGTATGGGAGTCATTGTCCAGAATGACCAACTATAATTTAGTGATAAATGATTGCTAACAGGTATTGACAACGTATTATGGAAGAAACATACTGAAGGAGAATGCCAAACTTCAGAGAGATACTGCAGATTGTAAGGTTGAACCATCGATCATGTGCGATCAGCCTCGTCGATATGGATCCAAAATAGATTTGTCTTCTTTGCATGAAAACTATTCTCGTAGGGGGCTAAGGCCTCAAAAAACAAACAATGCAGGTGAAATTTAGCAAATGGCATATGCTACGGTTCACCATACGAGCAGCGGTGGACCTTCGAGCCTGCCTGAGGACTGATGCTGGACTCGACTAGACCGAGGACCGGAAAGAGCTGGAGCTGGAGCTGGAGTATAGACCAGCCCAAGCTCCAGGAGCTCCAGCTCCACACCGAGCACCGGTCAGAGTACATACTTGCAGTACATACATACGTTCGATGATCGCGTTGGCCCGGATGCTAGACGAGATCAACTCATGTCCTGTCATCTCGAGCCTCTGTGTGCGTGCTCATAAAAAGGAGGTATGCGTTTCACACTCGAGCAGCTGCTCCAGCTGCAGGTGTTGCAGCAGCCTACTGTGCAGCGGCAGATGGAGTCCAGACTTCAGAGCTCATCCATCAACGGTTCGTCAGCCGGTCAGTCAGTCCTGAAGGAAGGCAGGCAGGGCTATCAAGTTTAGCTAAACAGGAGATTTTGTAACCCCTGCTTTCGACAGACAGCTCTAAGTAACACTCGACTGGGTGACATCATCTGCGACGGGATATAGCATATGCCAACGGTTCATAAAGGCCCATATTTTAGTCTTTTATATGTTTGTTTTCGGTCTCCGTGAACCGCCTGAGCTTTGCTGCTCCTAGCTTTACGTGGACGACAACGCCTCGCTTTTCTTTACACTATCATAGTCTCATTTAAATGCAGACGAGCTCACTTCTACTACTAATACTTCTATGATGCCGGAAGCGAAGAACCCCAGTTCGTAATACTTTCACATGTCTCTCATTACCTTCTACTACATTCGTTACACACCCAAAATGTTGGCTGGTTGAGTGCCCTGAAATGTTTTTGCGACACCTTAATTAGTGACGGCAATGATATTCCATCCCCACTCCAATTGATGAAATTTGTCCGAGAAAAGAAAAGAAACTAAAAGAATGAAGTCGATCCTAGGTTACCAGATTTACAAGCTCCGATGAATGATTCACATGCATCATTCCATCTTGGTGTACCAACTACTACCCTCGGTGGAAAGCAGTGTCGAATGATGCAAGCCTTTGAGAGAACTCATTCTATTTTATTTTTTCCTCGGAAGAACTAAAGATGTAGCTCCCTTCCATCAATCTCTTTACAAAATTGTCCACGTACGATGCAAGCACTAGGACATCATTCTTTGGGATGCTAAATTCTACATCCTTGACTCGCTTGTGAAGTTGCCGGGTACGCATTAAAGTTGTCAACTCTTGAAACAACACAGCCGCCATCAATGTGGAAAGATTGCAAGCTCTGAATTGGTAAGCTGTCACAATTTAAGTTCCTTGGACCACATAATGAGTGTTAAACAACTTATCCGAGTCCGCACCAGCCGGTCAGGACGCTCTTCTAGTTTCAGTGTGCGACACCCATGCAAGGATTCATACAGCTCATAGTTGAAGGATTCTACTCGCTCCAATGGCGTCTGAATGGGGCCGGCCAATAAAACCATCTGTCGACAGATCGGTCATGGAGCTCCGAAACTTCATTGCTAATTCTTTGTACCCACCTGCTTGAACATTATTGTGGGTGTCTATTGTGAAAGTAAAGGATGTGTGACCTATTGTTTCTACAAAAGGAGAGACCATCTTCAATTTCAAATCCAGAGTAGGGGTCAGTGTTCCAATTCCCATGTGATAACCGGATACAGTGTCTCGGATACTCTTACACTGAATGGATTCAATGGCGATTTGTCTCTTTATGAATACGAATCTAACTAGATCTACAACACCAGATGGATCTCGCTATATAATGGTCGACCGTCAATCTGCAGCTCATGGGGCTGAAAAGTTTTCTGAGACGGAGATTGACTTTCTTTCGCGTTCATAAAGAGCAAATTGTGATCTATCACGTTGTTCACACCCTTCTTTGCCTGGAATGGATTATTTCACATTTAGAGTGGTCTCTCATGAATGACTATCATAAGTTTGGAAATAACTATGTTGTGGAGATGGACGCATGGAGTCGTCATTGCTTTCCAAACTACATCTCCATCACCCAGGATGGTGTTGGTTTTAATGGAGGTATCACTGGTGTTGTTGCTAGTGGAGTTGCGAGTAGCAGCACTAGTGAAGGTACCATGAGCGATTCTAGTGGGAAAATCGGTGGAGTCGTTGGTGAAGGTACTAGTAGCGGTCCTAATGGAGTAGCTCGTGGAGGTACCATGAAAGCTACTAGCAGACATATTGATGGTGCGGGTAGTGGAGACACTAGCAATGTTACTAGTAGTCTCGTCGTTGACAGCTTGGATGGAGTTGCTAGTGGTGTGTCTACCTTTAAGTTGATTGGGGAAATCTTCAAGAGGTTGAGGAAAAACTACCACTGGGTGAATAGAGAGAATTTGAGAAGTCTTCAGAAGTTTGAACGGAAGACTAATGAAAATCTTTGAAAAGTATACACTTGTATATGCCGCTTGATCTCAATTATCAATGGTGTGACTAAGGTACAGGCTATCCAGTATTGGTATCGGAATATGATAAGAGTACAGCATCCTAACGATTATATCACGATGGTAACATAACATCTATATTTACGGACTTTACGTTTAATGGTTAACTTGCGTATTTGGATTTGAAGTTGATGAAACTTCAGAGGATATAAACAAGTTTATTTTGAGTTGCTTTGTCATTCTTTCAATCCAAACATCGAGAAACTGTTGAGAAATTTGCTCTACGGATTAGATACTCCTACGTATGATATTGCAGTAATAAGTTGATAATTCTTCGCAATTGGACAAATCAAGTAAGTTGAAATAGAGAATTTGTTTTTTTGATGAAGCATGAGTTGTGTTTAGATTATAAATCATCTCACCGTCTTGTGAATGCTAATGGAATGCAATGTATTTGCTACGGTAGCAATTCAGCTAAGCTACTTGAAGAATCCAGTAGATGCGCCTAAACCTTCGGAGCAGTTCAAACATCGATCATATGTACATATCTTGTACTTGCTCAAATGATTCTCATCATATACAATGTCTGATTCATCGCTTTATCTGGTAAAGAGAGTTGTTTCCTGTCACTTACAATGTTCAATTCATCGCTTTATCCGGTAGATAGAGTTGTTGCCTATCACTTACAATGTCCAATTTATCGATTCTTCAGTTACCAAAAGTTGTTTCATTCTCTTACCTTGTCCGATTTATCAATGTTCTTCTATTACGAGACTTATTTCCGATAGATGCTTTGTTTTTCCTAGAGCTATTTCCAGAAAACGCTCGTGTTGGTCAAAATATGTAGTTACATAAGATATCTTCTACTCATTGTGATATACATCACTCTTATGGTCTGAGATTGTTGTGTGACTTATCAGGTGAACCTGCGCTGAAGACCCGTCTTAATCCAACTCTTTGATCAACTCTTAAAATCTTTTGTAGTACACGGTGTGAAGTGCAGTTGAGATTGTTGTGTTACTTATCAAGTGAAGCTGCGTTGAAGAACAGTCTTAATCCAGCTATTTGATGAACTACAGTAATCCTTGAAATCTTTTGTAGTACCCGGTGTAGCACCATTGCGTTCATTTTTTTATCAGTAGCAAGGACCAGCATGTTGGACATTTGGAAGTAGTCACATGAGTAAGTATTATTCCCAAGAGAGCAGAGGACAAGATTCATAGGTTAGACCTCAGTTGACACAAGTTGTGTGATCGAACATGTCATCCTCTAAAGCGATGTTTTGACCTTCATTCAGAGTTAAGATCTGGAGGTGGAGATCGTGGTTGAGTACATCGAGGTGGTAGAGATGTTGATGTAAGTGTCATTGGATTACCCGCAGTGGATGATACTCCTATCTCAGAGGCCAATATGGGTGCTCGGATTGAGCAATTGGAGGAGATGCTCACTGCTATGGCTGGTTCTACCATAGGAGCTCACGAAGCAAAGGATTTCTCCTATTTGGAAAAAGTAGCCCAAGTTGAGACATCGATTGCAGTCACGAAAGTTGCACTTTGTGCTTTGGAGCCACGCAGTGCGACCGTGGATTTGAACTTTCAAAGGGGTGAGGGTGGGAGTAAAGCTAAGATTTGCCATTCATTCTTGTTGTTAGAGGTGGACATGACTTTATACATGAATTCTACACCAACTAATGATCGTGTAGTGAGGACTGAGGCATCTACATCACATGTTGCGGGCACAGAGACATCATCTGGTGCAGTGATGTAGATGACTATTTTGGTGATGAGATCTCAACTGTTTTTAGCCACAAAACTGATACCATTTGGGCTTGATTTGGCTTGTGTATTTCGTGTACCAGCCACGTTGTGTGAATGTGGGAGTGTTACTGTTACAAGAGCCGAGATATACGAGGGTATTGTTGAGGAGCAACCCTCAACGTCTACACTGAGGAATGAGACGAGGATGAGAACTGCTTTTACTTAATCCATTCAAAATCTCCAAGGCTAAATCGTTTCCAGATTTTTGCATGTCCCAACTACCCTCGCGAGGATTCTTGAGGAGAAAAACAGAGAGCAATAGTTAGCTTCATCTTACTCTCGCCTCCCAAGTGAACAAGTGCCTGAAGTGAGAGAAAGTTGCAGAAGTCTCAAGCTCCCAATTTATACGCTATCAACCCATCATGTCACCGGTTGCTAAATTACCTCCATACTTGGAGTGTGGTAGGTACATGTTTCTCGGATATAGCCTCCATTCTTATCTTCATATCATTCTCTTCAGTTACATTAAAGGTTTGCATGACTTGTAGTGACAAGTAATTAACCGTCCATCAGATTTGACCGAGCTCAGCCAAATCGAGATTTCTGCTAAATGAGACTTTCACGCGGCTGTTTCATTACCATCATATCAAACCCTCGAGTGCAGTCTTCCAAACAGCTTTGTCATTAGAAAATTTGCTGTGGGGGTTTAAAAAATCGGAAGGGGGACTGGCAGAACAAATTCTTCGGTTAAAATTTCCACGGCGAGAGAGTTGCAGAATCTTTTACTCCCAGAGCATGAGTAGAAGAACGAGTCCACTTCAATCCCTGCAACGAGGTATGTGCTGGAAATGCTCTCAAGTGCAGCGGAATTTTTATCTTCGACATCGATGCCTTCAAGAACTTGGGCCTCCTGCTCTTCATCTGTCTCCGGATCGTCCTAGGACAAGAGGAAACAACTATCTGGAGGTTGATGTGTGCAGCATGCATCAATAAGGAGTAATGTGACCACAAAAAACTAAATTTCTCTTTATAATAACCGCCGAATTTGTGTTGGTATTGGACTAAAAGCATGAAGAAAACACATATTGTCATTCATCGTAAGTAACACTGCATGTTGTATTGTTGATTTTTTTAGCTCATCCGAGAACCATCTCTTTTTCCACTTGCAATCTCTTTTCGAAGAAGTAAAAGTCTTCAAGTACAACAATGTACACCTACTCTTGTGTATATACATACTCTAACATGTCAATGACTATTGAAACAATACACAAAGTATTGTCAAAATATCAATACACATGTATAATCGTATATTGACATAGATGTGTTATCACATCAAACTTTTACATGATAAAAAATAATGATGTGATCAGTATAGAATAAAAGAGAAATTACATGCAAAACCCGTATCCTCCAATTGTTAATACTAAACCCTGCTCTGCCTTGAACTTCAACTCTAGCTCCACAATCCTTAGAATGAGACGATTTGCAGACTATCTGATTATTATCAGCGTCTTGATGCAACAAGTCCAGGCTTCTGCTGATAAGCTTCTAAGGTTCTGGCAAATTGCCCAACAGGAAGCCTTTGCTCTTGCAGAAGTCGGACCAAGCGGTGGCTTACAGCTGCAACCGGTGACATTCATATCTCTTGAGCTTCAAAGTTTATAGTTTAATGTGATTGCAGCATCTAAATGATACTTTAAGGAATGATGGATGGATGGACACAGGGACTTCAAAGTGAACATAATAATGGCTGACGTGGAAAACAACGAATTCTCACAGCGCACAGTTTCTGATTTACACAGTCAAATTCGAAGTCACGCTGAATCTCTCTGAATTGGTCGAGTCAAAATCGGCCATAGACACAGTCCTTTTATTGTATTTTGAATAACTTACTCATATAGCAACCTGTTCATATACATATTGAAACTGAGATCCTTATATTTCACATCTTATTATTTTTCTCTAATTTCCGAATCAATGCCCGTCGCCACCCGCCCGCCCTCATTTCTTTCATATCTTCTAAAGCCCTCATTTCTTTTCTATAATTTTCTGTAAGCTTGTACTTTCTAATCAGTCGTAGGTATTGCACGGCGCGGGTGTGAAATCAGAACTTAACGCTTCGGCTGCCTGATCAGACAAAGGATCTGATAACCGAAGTCTCATGGCGTCCTCCTCGGTCACCTCGAAAATCTTCAGGATTTCCCATGAGCTCGGAGTGTCCGGAAAGCAGAACGGACGAAGCTCGGCGAGGTAGAGAATTTTGCTGAATGCAGCTTGGGCGGGTGCTTCGGCCTCCACCTCCTCAGGTGTGAGTTTCGCCGTGCGTTTTACGTTCGGTACTCCGTATCTCAGTACTACCCTCCGGGAGACGTCGCACAAGATCTCATGCACTATCTCGTGGGCGAGGCACGACGTTCTTCTGAGGTGGACCAGATCGGTGACTAGCTCCGCATCGAAAGCTCTCGTGGACAGAACGTGTAGCAGATAATACAACATGATCTCATCAGCAGAGAACTGGGTCTCCCTGAGGAGGAAGTTCCACGTGACCTCATTCATCATGATCCTCTTTGCCGGCAGCAGCGAGTCCAACATCCAGAGCAGCTCCTTGTGCATCTCCTGTAAATTCTTGTCTTGAAAGCTAAATGCAAATTTCAGAATGATAACCGTGGCGCAGTCCAGGGGCGGCAAAGATGGCGACGTCGAGCAAAGAGAGTTCTCGGTTGCACTTCTAATGGACCCTGACCATCGAATCGCCTTGGCTGCTGAAAGCATGACACCGGTGCTTGAATCCCTTCCTCTGGAGGGAGCTGGATCTAAAACTTCGTCGATGAATCGTTTGGCATTGGTTCTTTTTCTCTGGCAGGGTTCAGATGTTCGAAAGATAGACTGAGTAGAAGAAAACCAGCTTGTGGATTTCATCGATGAATTGCTCGTCGAGGCATTCGGTAGCGGTGCGTGGCTCAAAGACTGCCCCCTTCGTGAACTCTGCACGGCCGAACATGCTTTCAGCTGCAATTGCATTCTTGACATCGCCTCCATCGCTCGTGTCCAAATTCTTCACTCCCGATTCTAAACCCGAAGCCGTCGCACACTAGCTACAGGACGGATGTAGGCCAGCCCCGACATAGCGGACTAATTTGCAAAATCTTCTGAACTCCACACTTGCTGAGCAGCAAGACCATCATATACTGCTCACTGGGACTCTCTCGGTCACTGGCCAACGTTGTCTTTTCCGAGCGTTTAAAATTTAAGTGTGCCCAGCCTGTAAATTCAACCTGCTTCTTAGACGATTCATCCGTTTTGACTTCACCACGGAATTCCGACATTATTTCGAATTATTGCAATTTGTGGTAGTCGATTAGCCATATAGATTGCCTTATCGGTGTTCGACAAAAGAAGAGCCCTCTGGGATTTGAACGGCTGAACTTAAAACTTAAAACATCTGATTCGATCGAAGCTGTTGGCAATGGCGAAATTGAATCTGCAAAAATTACCAGCTCAAGAGGAATGCCACATCCTGAGGATTTACAACTGTGAATACAATTATTACTTTGTGGAGAACAATCAGTTGTAGGAGAATGATGGTAGAAAGAATGGTACAAAAGTGCGATTTGAAAGTGGAGGACTGAATATTGCATGGTTCAACAAACAATGTTGCGAGTTTAGCGAGACTGAAGCGTACATGACCAAGCCGAGATAGGAAGGACTATTCCAGGAGCATATTCAATACTGTCCAAGGCTCCATCTTGGAGAGTAAAACAATGCATGCAAACCTCAATATATGAATGGGAAGGTTGCTCACTACACTAGATTCACAGACTGAAATGAAAATTAACTACTCATATAAAAGAGCATCTGTGTAAGCTCTTGTGTCTAGGTCAGCTTCGAGTTTAGAGTGTGGCAAATGTATGTCCGCATAACCTCGTTGGTGTAACCTCCAGTGTGTTCATTATACGGCTAGAATCTTTGCATCCGAGTCAAGTCAAGTTAGAGATTTAACGGAATCCAGTATCTGACCAGACAAGCACGGGATTCTTTACATTTTTATGGAGATCCCAAAAGTTAAGCGAGATGAATTTTTGGTCGGAAAGTATAAGTTAAAGATGAAGTGGTTATGGTTACTACATTAAACATAGTTTTTGAGTTGAAGAATACACATGTGGGGAAAATATAAATTTCGTGAAGAAAATTTAGATTGGTATGTAACATGTAAACTAATTTTTCCATTAGTTTTGGACCTGTGAATCTAAGAATGGAAGATTGACATAATTCTATGTGAGTGGGCTAAAGTCTACTGTGGTAGGTGAGATGATGAAATTATTATGATATGTACATTTTTTTTATTTTTTATTTCAGACCATGAGTTGCCAGTACTATACATGTAAATAAAACTTAGTAAACTCGTGTCATTTACAAATCATTTGATATTACATATCTCATCGACATACGAACCTCGCTAACATTTTGTTTTGTACCTTGTTGAAGTATTCCATTTTATTGCCCTTTCGGTGATGAGAGCAAACGGGAAGCGGCGATTCAAGCGCTACCAGCAAAGGCAAGTCCCCGGCACCGAGCCACCATCGTCTCTGAAGTCTTGGGCTGGGCTCAGTCTTGAGCTCACCCTGTGAAGTCTTGGCTCTAGCGAAGCTTAATAACTGTCTTCTGATTCTTAAGCACGAGTATTGGGGACAAGGTTTGGCCATGGGAATCTGCAGCTAATAATTGTAAATAGGATTTCGAGTGCATGGAGAGAGTTTCTCCGACGTTTGCACCTCGAGCCTCAGAGTGATGCCCGGACGTTGCTCCCGTTGCGAAAACGGCTGCCCAAGCGACCTCGAGATTGTATCTGGAGAGAGTTCAAAGACCTGGAGCAGTCGAGTCTTGTTCTTCACCATCAAAAACATAGCACGTAACCAAATCCTCGCGTTCCTTGGAATTTTGCCCCGATCATTAGTGACAACGATTGAAGCAAGAGATCTGTCCATGTCTTTGGCTTTCTCTTCACATGAGGCTTATGCCATTCTGACCTTCGATGCATCGGTTGCTCTAGATTGCCTAGAATCTTCTCTTCTCTTCTCACTCCATCGTCGACGACAGTTCTTCCTGCATCTTCTCAGTCACCAGTAGAACTGCAGAGCTTGAAGGGTTGAAACCACTGAAATACTACATCCCTGTTAAAAGCCTCCCATCTCGTCCACTGCACTCGACGGGTCCACAAGGATCCGAAGAGCGGGAGCTTCGGATGTTTCATCACTTGACTTCATTGATCGCATGATCGTGACTCATATCGTCTTTTAGAACTCCCGTTGAGGCTGAACGTACTTCCGATGGAGGAGTCCATTCGTTTGTGTGATTGGCTTGACTGTACTCAGTTGGTTGTTTGAGATTGCACAAGGTCGAGCCGATCTACATCCGATGAGAACATACAATTTTGGCTATATTAGGTATATTCGGTGGAATTAGGGTATGAAAGAAACCATAGAAAAAAAAAGGTGGAAATATGGTCAATTACTAACCCTTACTTGAAACAAGGTCTAGTGATAGAGCTAATCATTTTTGTTCAATGGACGTCGAACTCCTTGAGGACCTGAAATTTTCCCCAAACAAAAAAGTTGCATCGGCCGGGAATCGAACCCGGGTCTGTTCCGTGGCAGGGAACTATTCTACCCCTAGACCACCGATGCTTCATGCCTTATTCCTGAGATTTATTAATTTATAGTTCTTATTGGAGTTAATAATAAACTCATTCCATACCATCACCACCCACTTCTACGATGATGAAGAAACCAATTTTACTCAAACCTTCAATGCCTTCACTTCCGGTATTAATATCTTTAGCACTGGATCGGGGATTGGGCGAGTGTAACTTTAAAAAGTACTTCAGAAATGACAAATACTTCGAGCATGTACTTGAATTTTGACATGATTATTTTTCTTTTAAATCTTCATAACCATAGCACGAAAATAAATCACGATTGAACCGAAACCAATTTGTACTAACCAGACTCTAGATTATTACCTATCTACTCTCCGTCCTATACACACTCTCAAAGGTTCTCTAAATAGCCTGATTTCTATTTCCATCACTTCCGCCATAAAACATTAACTAAAATATGGACCCAAACAACATGTGAACTTCGCTCATTACACAATCGTCTCTAACTCACGTTTTGTTGTCCTTCATATGCAAAAACCTCTACCTGCCTAGAGATGTGATGCATAAGTTGGCATGGTTTTCTTTAGGCGATCCTATACCAAGGAGCCCAAATCACCTAAATTAACACTCCCTCCGGCCCATCTAGAATCTAATTGGGTTTGAATTGGAGCATGGGAGATCGAGAGATATTAACCATTCAATTATTACCACGTCCGTCTCATAGTTCACCAAGTTCAATATCTGGAGTTTATAAATTAAATTTTCTCTCGTCCACTAGCCTCACGGCTAGGGTTGGAGGCACAGCAAAATATTTTGAGTCATGACTATGCGCCATTTCGCGGTCAAAAGGGCATGCCCCATGCCCCCAAGCATGCCCGTATTTAAATACGTATATTTGACATATTTGAAAACGTACTTCTATGAGAATTGAGAGATTTGCTTGATGGGACCCCTGCGGAAAGTAATTTGCTTGATGTGACCCCCTCAGGTTTAGTTTTACCCGATGGGACCCCAACGACGGTGTGCCGTCGGACATAGTTCTTGTAACTACGATTACTACTAGTTACAATGCGGGAATTATAATCAGAGATTTGAAAACGTACATCTATGAGAATTGAGAGATTTGCTTGATGGGACCCCTGCGGAAAGTAATTTGCTTGATGTGACCCCTCAGGTTTAGCTTTACCCGATGGGACCCCAACGACGGTGTGCCGTCGGACATAGTTTTTGTAACTACGACTACTACTAGTTACAATGCGGGAATTATAATCAGAGATCAATCCTTGATTATAATTTCTGGTGTATTATCACGGGTACAAAGATCGATTTTGCTCGAAGTACAATTTGTTATGCTTCAATTCTTCCCGATCGCAAAGATTCGCGGATTTATCTGTTGCCTCCCACCTCCTTCCGTAAACCTACGTGGTCCGAGCTCAAGTCTCGCGATCACCCATTTGTGTCTAACAAATAAACTCCGAATGAACATTTCTTTGCTCATCTCCTTGTAAAGTGGCCGGATAAAGAATGACAACATAAAAACAAGTGAGTGTGATGAAGTGCGAAGTTCACTCTGTCTGTGGGTGCGGTGGACTCGTTGCACTCTCTAGTTTTATTAGAACATGGGTGACGGTGCATCGTTTATGGGGTCCCATGAACTGTCCCATCAAGCAAATTACTTTTCGCCGGGTTCCCATCAAGCAAATCTCTCATGAGAATTAAACATTATTAGAAATAAAATTGTTGAAAAGTTCTAGAAAATACATATTAATTTTTTTGGAAGAACCTGAACGAGGCATGCCCGTGGGCATGCCCCCTTGCCCTCGCCCTCGGGCATGCCCTTTGAGGTTGTGCCTCCAACCCTACTCACGGCACGATCGCAGACATTACCCTCTCTCTCCCGTTACCTCCGAACCCCTCACTCTTCTTAAGTGCACTCGAGGCGACTATTAGCACAAAAGCGCCTACATTACCTCAATAAACTTTCTTAATGCGACTAAATTAACTAATTAATTACAGGCGACCGACTAATATAACCATGCCTGTGCATAAGTCATCAAGGGCAAGATTTGTGACCCCCAGCTGTAAGAACCTATGTGGCGGCACACAAAATATGCATGCGTCTTAGGAGAGTGAATCTTCAACACATCGTCACCAAGTTGTGGTTATCAATCAACAGTGAGGTGGAAACTCGAGGACGAGTTTGGAAAAGGTTCATATGAGAGTTTGTCTAATGAGGTGGACGTGGCAATTCAAGACACGACTGCTCAAAAAATATTGAGCAAATTGTATTGATAGTATGAGGATATCAACTATGTAAACAATGCTACATTTGTAGCTGTGAAAATCAATACAGTGATACATATCTACAAATAGAAAGAGGAACCTCAGTTGTTTGATGTCTACTAGGCAGCGATCACATTTTCTCGCTCGAATCATCGATCTTGTTTTGCCAGTTCCTGCACAACAGAACAACCATGCAAGAATATACAAAATTAAGTCTCTCACGCAACAGAAAGTAAGCAGATTTTATAATATTGATACTCAGATGTCTGACAAAGATGACCGCAACTGCTTCCGTAGATGTGATTAAGGAATATTGATATGAATTGCTACACGAAATGATCATGACAACACGCAACCTTGGTACACTGCTCATACGAGAAATCATCCAGCCTGTGATCCCTCTAAAGAACTTACCTGTGACCAAAGCAACTTTGAACAGAAATTGTGAACCTTACGAAGAGGTGAGGTAAGAAAAATAAAAGCAACTCACTAAAAAAGCAAACTTCACACCTAACAAGATCCACTTTGCAACCATGAGACTTGGCAGTCACAACTCTGATATAAACGAAAACTTCTAGAAGATGTTTACTTTGAACAGCAGGTCCCGTGCGAGGGTGTCCCATGGCAGAGAGAGGGACATTAGACAGCAGCGAAGAGGTATTAACTCTCCTTCGGCCCATCCTCCTCCATTGTCAGAAGCAGCAGCAGCAACATTTTTTGCTACAGCTGATGCAACCACAGCGGCCTTGCGCATGATTGAGCCCAAGGCAAGCTTCGCGCGAGGTTGCGTTGGCGATGGAGGTGGTTTGTCGATTTGTTGAACATCAATATGGGCTATACAAGAAAACATCACACAATTGAGCTTTATTTGTTCACCTCCAAGTCAAATGTTTAGAGAAATAATATTTGTTTCTTACCAGTTACAGGGACGAAGTATTCATTGAACTTTACTTCTGATGCATCAAACGTCCATAAACAATGTGTAAATTGTAACGTCCAGAACCTACTAGCCCTTCAACGTTAGGAATGATAACTAAAATCAATGACAGATGGAACAGTCAAACCACGTACTTGCGACAGCCGAGACAGCAACTTCGACTTCTCCACGTCCACCAGGTCCGCGCATAATTAGCCGCTCGGATTTCGACTTTATTTCGCCCATGTGGAAGATATCTTCAAACTTGGGTCGCTTCCCTCCTACACAGTTTTTCTTATTAATCAGCAAGTAAACATAACAATTCCAACGTTCAATGACCTACGAAGGAGTGAGAAGAGGCATATCTCGCCCATGATTTGGTTTTACTTAAATGTAATTTGTCATTGATTTTTTAATGACAATTTGAAATATTGAGTACAAACTTCGTAATCGAGCCGATTGCAAAGTTCAATTACTCAATTTCCAAGCCGTAATACTATGTTTTAAATGGTGAAATGTATGAACTGAATGTCCGATCACTCTTCCTCACCATCACAACGGGCTTTCACAAAGTATTTCTCACTTAACAAGTATTCTAGCATGACTAGTAAAAAAACATTTCTAATTAAATCGAAGAGGACTGGTTGTTAAAAATATCCACAATGAAGGTCCCCCAAACCCCCGCATGGACTTCCTAAGCAATAAAAACTCTAAACATGTACCGAGCAGAGGTGTAGTGCCGCTTGGAAATCCAGGCTTCGAATTGAATGGGTGAAAATTCTAAGAAAGCAATGAAGTTTATTGAAGTTTATACGGTGGGAGAAATATCTTGCCTTCAAATGCATTGCGCACCATATCATAATTCACAAACCCTGAAAACAAGGTCACCTGCATGTAAGATGAAGAATTAGATTCTTCGCAAAATCACATACAACAGAAGCAGAGAAGTAATCAATGCCAACAATGACTGTTGACATCCTATTCATGAAGTCAAGAGATCACAGATGCATTGACCCATCTATCTATTGCTTCATGTCAATCAAAGCCAGGGAGACCAGCCATTGCTCTATACAGGGGTCTTTGAACATTGTTATACCTTTGGTGAGGTCGACCCTTGAGGCACTTCTCCCAGCATTCTTGCTTCACGACTAGTCCTATGATCTTCTGGACTGTCCTCCTCATCGGTAGGAAATGCAGCACCACCACGTGCATTCAAGAGTACACAGTAGCAGTGGTCGGCTTCTGTCAACACCTGCAAAAGACTTTTGTCAAGATCTCCTACGCGATGCATCTTCTGCGATGTCTTATTTTAAAAATATATGAAGACAACAACATATACCCAAAAACAGAACTTTAATTTTCTGAGCAGAAAACGCAGTTCTCACATCTAAGAAGTGGAAGGTTCATAGTTCATACTAGCTAGTACATACTCTGGGACCGTGGAAGTTGTTAATTTCTACAAAGCATCAAGCTAGAATACCATATGTAAGAGCAGTTAATGCTTACCACATCGTTGAATGTAAAATCATAGTCATCAACAACAAAGCAGATGTCTGGGTATGCTGCCACTGTCTCGGTTGCCTGCTCATAAATTCAATCATAATTAGTACCAAAAGTAACTCTCGTTATACATGAACTGTAAGAGTCGAGCAATTTCTCACACTGAGTTAGAGAAGTTCTTACAAATCATGTGAAACAATAAAGTACAATCTTCTTACGAACACTGTATGCGTCTCGTGAAGTTGTATCCAAACCCTTTTCGATTTTAAATTTTTGCAAAATATTCTACATAGAATATTAGAGATGATAGTAGAAATTATTCGCGGTACGACTCTTCTATGTACCTTCGAATCAGGCTGAAAATTCGTTCGACTTGGTGAGGCATAAACAGTTTTCGTGACCTGCTTTTCAAACACATTGCCAAATTATAGGGATTGATATTGTCAAATTGCACATAAAGATGATGGTGGAACGCTGATAAAGAACACGAAAGTTCTGCAAATCCTTTCATTGAAGGCCAGAAAATGTAACTCCACACGGACGTTCTAGGAGACAACAATACATTCTTCTATCAAAAAGACACACCACAAATCTATAAAACAAAGCTGGTAACGTGACTGAACTTCATCTGATTGAAACCAGAGCAGGCACAGCACCTTATATATTGGTGTCAAAGAAGCCCCAGATCCATGTTGATGATTTTTGAGATTTTCGCGACTGCAGATATCAAGGATTCATCAATTTCACAACAGACATGACTTTCCGAGCTTAGCACTGGTCCTCTGATCCAGCGATTCTCCCCTTGAGAAATCAACTAGGTCTCGGGAAGCTTACGAGCAGTATATACTGGAAGAAATGAGGGTAGAAGACATTTTGAACAGCAAACACTTGTCACCCCACCCACACCAACTTGAACACAGGCAATTGGTTACAAACGTTATGAAGCTGAATATTAGCTACATAGAAGCAAAGTTTCTCAAACGGATATCTAAAGGTTTTAGCCAAGACATATCTGAACAAGGAGAGGGCATAAGAAATAGACACTCCGTCCAATTTTACATACCTGCAGATGGCAATTGTGAGGGAGAAGGATGTATGTGCAATCAAGTTCAGGTAAAAAGAGCGACTCCAATCAACCTCCCAGAAACTATTTCCAAGAACTTTCTCCAACTGCACAAAGCGGAAAAATGTGTGGTTCAGACTAAAATATTTAAATATGAAAGTTGTGCGAATAAATATGGGCATGTGAAAAGACCAGATGATCTACCAGAATCGTAAATCGAGCAGAATATGAAGCACGGAAACAGTTAAGCTACAAGTACGCACCTCAGGTGCCCACCTTCTAACGAAATAGGGCTGCATTTCTGAATCATTTGACTCACTAAATTGCCCATTTCCGTGTTGGACACCCTGGAAAGACACATAAAATACGCAAGTATTTAGCTAGGCTTCAACAAAAGAAAAGAGATATAACTGGAAAGTTGTTTGTGAAGGAAAAGATAACTTTGAACGCTTTAAGACTTTTTATACACTTTTGTGAATTTTATAATTCGCTGAGCATCAAGATTTCTTTTTAGATACAGCATGCTGATACGCCTGAACCTTAATAAACGTGAAGGAAGACGTTAATAAAAGCGAAGCTCTGAGGCTTTCCCGTTATAACTGCAGAATCGAGAGGTAAGAAGTGAACCTCTAAACTGACAAAAAAAATTAAGTCATCATCTTCATCAGATTTTTTCTCAGCTTTCAACTCCACCAAACCTCGCACAAAGTACATATCCAACATTTGCTGCCAAAAATGCGCATCCGGCCCTGCTTCTGGTTCCTGATTTGTAAAATCCCCTGATCCGATTCCTCCAGGTTGCTTGCGTACTATACTAAGGAGTTCTTTTCTGCATGATTGACAACCATATCAAAATGAATGTTAATTTGTTTTGATGTCTGAAACAGCAAAGTCTTCGACAAAAACAACCTTCGGCACAAGTCAAGTGCAACCTGTCGGGACTCTGAAATGAACCCTCATAACCAGAACTGCTAGTCAAGAAAGTTGACTCTGAAAAAAGTTTGATGGGTTACCGAGATGGTGATGTGCGGTGGTAGTCTCCTCTTGCCGAGTTGAAGGCTCCACTGCAGTTGAAAACACACGCAAAATTTGGTAAAGATACCAAAAAGCCCAACAACTTGGACTCCAAAACTACTGCAATAGTTGTCTTTGAAAATAAAGAACGGATATAATGCGGCTTAAAGCGAGAGAATTGTCTTAAGCCTGCGGTACTGGTGATTTTGCTAGTCATTTGAGGAGATTCCATTCAAGGTCTCCGTACTTGACCAACTAACTACCTGTCTATGTACTGGAAGGCTGCTATCAGTAAAATACCCTGGCAGTGTGGAGCTAATGATGTAACGTTTGCTGAAATAACGTGAGACACCCGTAAGACGAAAGCCATCAACAGATGCTTTGAAGCATACTCAAAGTTTCAGCTTAATTGGCATCACTAAGTTTAGTGGAGAAGCGGAGTAGCTTAAGCAGATTCTCATAGAAAACTATTCTCCCATCACCAGCCAGGGGGTGACGATGTAAAGATATAGCTGTTTCTTTAACTGCAATTTTTAAAATCAGGAAGAGCTTCTTAATAAATCTCAGCATATTAAAGACTTGTCTCGATATGGCGTTCTACCCGCCCAGTGTCTACCCCGTACAGATGCAGCAAACTCCTCTTCTATTCTTTTGCTTTAATTCCAAAGTAAAGAAGTTGCGTCAGTAGTAGAGTCTCCCGCTCTTAATTACGAGCATGTTAGACACTAAGAAGAAAAGAGATGCGGGTACAAACTCGTCCGGAGGAGGCAACGAGGTTGCCATGTCCACCTGCTGCCACTCATCTTCTATCCCTCGTGAACCATGCGCAGAACCCCTGCAGTCATGCACATCAGGCACCTCAAGGTGCTGAACTACACAGTCCCTGATCTAAATGCGTGTGCGCAAGTGATGAGGCAAAATTGCCAATGACGTGGTGGCTGAGGTGCACCGATCTAAAGTAGAGCTGGAATTTCACATAATGCCGGCACAGAGAAATGCGGAAAGAACCATTTCCAGACCAGTAATTGCAGAATTAGGTTCACACCTCGAGTTCTGAGAACTTTCTGAAGCCATTCCTTCAAAACTCTAAAACCGCGTCAATCGGCTCCTCAACACCCCCCACCTTCGGCCGATAAAAAGAACGACTTCACAGATTTTGATCCAGCGATGCTTGATGGGCGGGCATACTTCTCCATGATACTTCAGAAAAATCGCAATCCATTTCTTGCTACCCGCAGAAAACCATTCACAGCAACCCGCAGCACCACCACCAGCCACAAATCTCTTCGTTCACTTTGCAAATTCCTCGCAAGAGCCCCTACATGTATCGATGTGTGTATCTGTATTCGGAGCCCTCAACTCATTCGGCAGCTTCCACCCTCAGAAATTCCGAAATTAACAAACTACAGCGCCACCTCTGGGAGAATCCGCTGCAACCTAAACTCTACTCTACTGAGGCAATGCCAGTCTCTGGAGAATCTGTCCTAAAAACTTCAAAAACCATACGACCAAGGAAAATTGAACTGCAAACATTGTGTCGTCGTCACCTATCTCGACCGGCTCAGCTTTCCCATATGCTGTTGCTCAGATTCCTCCAACAGTACTAGGACATGATTAAAATCAAAATCGGATCCGCTGGAGCACTCTTCCCATCAGGAAAGAAGAGGACTACCGCCACCTGTCTCCACATGTCCAACCCATGGCGCCACAGGTGTTCACTTCCTTACACAGGGCCTCTTACAGCTTTTTGACATTCCGACCGCCATGAGCTCGGCTTACAGGGCTTCCTTCGCCCGGACGAACGAGTCCCCATCGCCGTAACCCGGCCGCAGGACAGCGTTCTCTCCCTCCTCTCAGCTAGGCTCGGATCTGTGTAACATGGCCGGGGAATTTACTCTTCCCGGAATGTCTGACAGAAACTCCGTACCAGTCAGTGGACAGCACAGAATCTGCTTTAAGAGTATGGGTCCCACGGTCATGTGACTTATAGTCTCGGCGTGTTGGATGTAGACAAAGATGTTGCACTGCCTTGGAGGCCGGACATTTACCCCACCTCGGAAAGTGGCCTGACGACCCTTTCAGATGCATGATCCTTGGCGTGATGTCAAGATTACTCGAGTTCGAGTTGTCACTGCTTTCTCCAGGTCAACAGAACTAATTAGGCCAGTACAATTAGAAGTCATCCTTCTCGCGTGTTTCAGTAGAATGTGCATGAGAGTGTGAAGAGACCTCCAAACTGCGTAGGTGGCCAGGGCCTAGTGGTTAGCTTTCAGGCCACTGCGGATTCAGTCCGTTCAAATAGGAGTTACCATGTGGTCGCTGGTAGTAGGTTCGGTTCTTCCCGGCAAATTATGGGAACCATGAGCTTATTTGCAGAGAAGTAGAATTGGAACACGTGCACACGCTAGGAGATTTTCAGTAGCACAGCCGGCTTTCACAAAGGACTACGACGTACACAACTGCGATCTTTGAGCCAGCCGTATAGTGTATATCGTCAACTTTCGCGATTGTGTTTCTACAGTACGGAAAAGCCTTGTGAAGTGGCGTCATCTCGTGAAACATTCATTCGGGTGAATTCATATCTCACGTGATGAGGACGATGGACACGCAGTGGAGATACAGAGATTGTAACGAGTAAGAGTACACCTTGTTACATGTATGATTATGTCAGCGAACAATTTGGATTGCTTGCGACATTGATTCGATGGAACCAACCACGAGGAACTCAAAGTGAAAAAAACTTCAGAATTATCCCCATGTTCATCGTGATCATATTGAAATTTAGGTCTCCCACCATGGGGTACCAGCTTTAAATTTAAGAATTTTTCCATCGTCCCAAGATAATTTATATGCTTGGAGTCCTAATGCACAAGGTTCACGCCCGTGCATTGACACCCAAGTCTCCATCATGCCTCCATCTCTTCTGTCTTTTATGTTGCCGATCCAAGAACTTTCATCCTCAGTGACAGGAGCATCTAGGCAAGGGTCAACTTCCGGAAACTTCAAACGAGCAATGGTGGCAGGTATATACATCGAATCACCGATTAAAGGAGCACCCATAGCAGCACACTGCGTCCTCACCTGTCAGAATCAGATAATAAATGCAAAGGAAATTAGATACAGATTATACTTCACAGAACCAACAGCGGCCTGAAACTAGCAACTCCTTCGGAAAAAATCTTTGATAATCTCCACTTCTGTAAGAACAAATAATCCACGTTGGGACTTTTAGACAAGATACAAAATAACTGAACATATGTCTGGTACACACTCATAATGTATAAAGCTATGAAGAAGTAAATAACAACAAATTGACTAAACTGACCTGGTGTGTTCGACCAGTCAGAAGCTGTAGGGTCAACTCATACGCATACTCTTGGACCTTCCAGCCACAATTCTTGACGCTCAATTTCTTCATTGTCGAAGGACTAGGCCAAGGAACCTGCTTGCAACTTAGAATTTCCATTTCGCAGAGGGCCCAACCTTCATGTGCGGCTGCAGGTGAACAGACCCAGGTTACTGATCATCTCCCACAGTTAACATGAGGCATCAGAACCGTGGGCTAAATAAAAGCCACTCATGGCCTTTTCTTCATGATTGACTTTTATACATATTACCGTCGTTTAACAGCTCTTAATGTTCAACAGTCTGTGTAAAGCATGAATTTGAAACAGAAAGCTTGGAACAAATACCATTGCTGACAAGTCGAGGGGGATGCCGGTCTGCACGCATGTAATGGGTAATTCTTCCAAGTGGCATGGGAGCTGTCGCAAGAGCGCGGTAAATCTTCCTCACTTTCTTATCCTAATGAACAAAAAACAATCGGGTTATTACCCCGGCATGGATATCCAGGTCTTCCAAGCACAAGTTTCTTTCTATCAAAACAATATGTTTCGAACAGTCAAGGGAAGTAAAAACAAAAGTTAAAACGAGTTAAAGAAACCTGAGACCACTCGTGAAGGATGAACCGTGACCGGTTCAAAGACCTACCCGAAGTAACTCGTGAAATTTTGAAGCAAATTCCTTTGTTTTGGCTAAAACCACGCTGCACATAAACGTACCACACATTTGGAACAAATTTCAGGATTGAGAACGAAACCCAGAAACGAGAAAATATCACATAGATGGCACTTATTTGACAACAATTTGGAGCATTTTAATTCAAGGCCTACTATAGCTACCTCACGGGAATAACTGCCGCCCGTGAATTTAGAGCTATAATGTAGGACAATTGCTTCGGTCGCTAGCCTGGAAACTCCCCAAGTCAACAACCGAAACAGCCCGTTTTTGTGCGCCTATCACACCTCTCGGTGTGCCGCGAATAACCTTTCCCGCGGAATACCACGTTGCCAAGACACTAACTGGGTCAACGCTCGGCCTAAGGCGCGTGTGAAAATTTCCCATAGGTTGAATTCAATCAGGATCACACTACTTTCTTCACAAGAGGAGAAAACCTGCATAAGAAAGGAGGCGAAGGGTACATACCAACCCTCGGTGCAGGTGTCAATTTGATGAGTGATGGAGAGAGGTGATCGCTGCCCTATCGCTCGTGCAGTAAAATTGGCACAGCTTTCCACCAGATTGTCTACAGTGCCACCAACCTACATGAAGAACAAAAAATTCCAAGCATCCTCTGTAAACAAGTTTCGGATGATGTTCGCACAGTTGGAGATCAAAAGACTAACTTTTTCATTGTCATCAACATATCAGATGCAAGAGAACCTTCTGTGTCGAAAGTCATCATGACTTCTCATCTAGAAATGTTGAGAGCTATAGGGTGAGTAGCAGTTACAATAAAATATTCATTATCAAACAGCAGTGAGTCACTTCGCCACGACGAGGAACTAAAGAACGAAGAACTGAGAAAAAAGAGTTCGCAACAATAAAATGGAGATGAAACCAACCGAGACACCAGCTGGCTTGTCAAGCACGACGTAAGATTTTGTCTCGGAGATAATTCTTTCCTTCCAATTAACCTCGTAACATCTGCAAAGAAACGATGATCATACGAATGAGAGATACGATCATATCGGCAAACCCATCACCAAAAGTATACCAGTCTTGTAGAACCAAGGCATGAACGATCATACGCACGCTTCGGAGCACAGCAGAATAATTACACCCAAATGACTCAATTACCTTGGGGACCGTTTAGGATGAACGTGAACTCGTAAGTACGAACCCGCCTCCAGCTCGAAGTATCTAGTTGTAACTCTGTATGTCTTCTGGGCTTCCTTGATTGTCTTCCTCTTCAACGACGGACGTTTCACGGGATCCTGATGAAGAGGAGCAAATTGTTTGTACAGTTCAAGCTGTTCGGGACAGACATTTGCAGGTGGGGTTGGCCATACCAGGGCATAATGAACTGCTCCAAAATCTATCAAATCTTCCACATACCTAGAGTAGAACCACAGAAGACTTGAATAAATTACTTAAATGCTCCCATGCTAAAGACATACATCTCAGCTCGCTGTGAACACTAAAACCACAGGGGATGAGTTTTCTCCTCGTCAAATTCTCCGCGAATGCAGATTATACTCACGTTCGAGGAAGAGCGAGCGTCTTGCTGACAACGTCCACAACGTTTCCTTTCTCCTTGAGAACCAAATGTACAACACGTGGAGGCAGGTTCTCTGCGGGACAAGGTAGCAGGCGGCCATACTGCACATCTCTGCAACACAATCACGGAGAATACCACAATGAGCGACAGTGTATATACCTCAAGGATAAGCGCCAAGAACGAGGTGAACGAATATGCAAACGACTCTGTGAGGCAGTTTCCACAAAGTGTAACCATTGCACTCCTAATCAGCTCAACAACAAATCAAGACAAAAACCTGAGAGTCTCGAACGTGTTCTAACTACAGACAACTCTCGCAAACATCACTGAAAACAGCACGTATTATCGACATGAAGAATCCGAGAGTTCGACGACAGAATTTTACCTATGGGCAGCATTATCGACATCACCGCTCCAAATTGCAGTCTTCTGCTTGTAGGTGAGATCCGGCAGCTGTATGGCAACATCGGAGCAGGGAACTGCGGACTCGGTGACCTCACTGAGTGCACGAACATTCACAAAACGCGTAAGCGACTGCGGCTGACGAGCGCGCAGGACCAAACAGCGCCTCGAGGCTACAGCAGAATTGATCAAAAACGTGGACACCAAAGCCGGTGAAGTCGAAAGAGGAGCCGCAGGCGAGAGGAAGATTCTCGTGAACGCAACCGTGGAGGCCATGGTCAGGTGATTCCCAACTACAAGGCTCCGCATTCTGTAAAAGGCACCCAAGAACGAACCCTCATATCATTCATCAAAATGGCCCATCGGCCTGCCTTTGAAGGGCCGATGGGCCATTCTCATGAAGGATGTGAGGGCTCTCGAGGATTTGGCTCTGTTCGTCCGGAGGCATCTCCACGACGCCGAAGAAAAAGTAATCCTCTGCTTCCGAAGAGGAGGGATCTAATTCGAGCTCCAAGCAATCAATCTTAAGGTATCGTCATTTCCCTTGCAGCCTTTAATTTAGGTTTCCTGCTGGCGGGAATGTTGGCCATCTCAAATTGTTACCTCTATGATTGTGTGCATCGTAGCCGTTGAGCAGAACGATTTCGCGATACGGATAGTGAAAAATCTTTTCATTCGTGTTGCCTTGGGAGTCAAATTGCTTTTGTTCAGTAATAATTTTGAGCGGTCAGGTCTCAGTTTTATAACAAACAATGACACGTGAGTGGAAGATTGGGAAAATTTTTACCACATGTTATATCAAACAATTCCAACCTCCTTGCACATAGAAAAGTGGAATTGATTTTCACAAATTTATTCTACTTCATCATAATAATTCCAATGAATGATATCTCTATACATAAATCATTAATACAATTAAGTAGATATAATCTGAAATTTGTAATATTCACGACATACATCTGAAGAACTTGAAACTATGGAAATTTTGATAGAACTAAAATTTCCATAAATAATTGCAATATGAAATTTGTTGTTTTATAATAAAAATATTAACGCATGAAATGTTATGTTTTCAGCATAAAAAAATAATTGTATCATTTACAGTATTCACTTAACCAAAAAAACTAACACAAAGAAATATGTGGTTGATCACTACAAATTACATACACTTAAACATACAAGGCTAAAAAAAATATATGAGAAATAACTAACTTTACGAACAAACTTTGTGCAGCTCTCTTGAAAACTTCTAACTAGTTCAATTAATCAAAGTTAAGCTAATTTAAATATAATCAATATATAAGTTAAATTTTATAAAATAATAAGATATAAGATTTTTCAGTAGCGGCACCAAAAAACTCATGTACACTCTATGCCAGGACTTGTTTTACGGTATGACATCAAGAACACTCTTATCTCATGAAAATTACCTCGTCATTCTAGCCGGATTCACTGGAAGGAACTCTGAGCAAAGAAAATACTAAAAAAACACGTTATATTCGGATTTACATTTGATATATATTAATTCCGTCATCGGAATGTGAGCACAAAACTTTGCTCACATGTCTTTTTACCCTTAGTAGAGTTAAAATTTTGGATTTAAGCTCTTGCAAAATTATGCTTGGGTTTTTATGAAAGTTTTGGCAAGATTAGGAGTTGGTGCGATGGTTAGGGGGCATAAGGTGCGGAAGGGGGCCTTCGGGGCGAGGTCTTCGGTGAAGTCCTTTCGGGAAAAGGCCTTCGGCGAAGCAGTGAAACTCTCATAACGTTTTCAATGTGTGACGCCTTGACTCAGTTAGGGTCTTGTTGGAAAGAGCTCGCAACGCTCGTTCCAACGAGACCAAGAACTCTTAAAACGGATAAGTCATCACCGAGTTAGGAGCGGCGGAAATTACTGATATGGAGGGCCTTCGGCGATAGAATGCCTTCGGCGTTAACAGGCCTTCGGGGAAAGGGCCTTCGGCGGTTGCAGGCCTTCGGCGGAGGAGTAAAACCGTCATAACTTTCTCAATTCGTAACGCCTTGACTTAGTTAGGGTCTCGTTGAAAAGAACTTGAAACGGATCAGTCGTCACTGAGTTATGAGCGTCGAAAGTGGCTGATATGGTTAGGCGAAAGGCCTTCGGCGATAACAGATAGAGGGGCCTTCGGCGATAACATATAGAGAGGCCTTCGGCCCAAGGAATTGCAAGTAGGAAGCCTGCGAATAGGCGGCCTGCGCATAGGCTAGTTGCGAGTAGGAAGCCTGTGCATAGGCAAACGCCTTCGGCGGAAGAGTAAAACAGTGATAACTTTCTCAATTCTTAACGTTTTGACTTAGCTAGGGGCTCCTTGGAAAGAGCTCAACACGCTCGTTTCAACGAGCCCAAGAACGTTTTAAACGAAGCAGGGATCTGTGAGTTATGAGCGTCGGGGGTGATTGTTATTGATGGGCAAAGGTGCGGAAGAGTGTCTTCGGCGGGAGGATGCCTTCGGCGGTGCACTGAAGAAAATTGCGGACGGCGGATGTTGACGTGGTCATGAATAAAGACTGTACAGGTGTGGCAGTGGCGGCGGCGTGAAGTCAGGCGTGGGAAATATGACGGCGGGGCATGAAGTCGCACATGGGAACCAGGCCGTTGCCCATCATCGCGGGAACGGCATTCACGCGGCTTGTGGGTGACTCGGCCCTTGGACGTTGGAGAGTATTATTCGGCCTGCGAGCTGGAATTGTGTGGTGTGCCATTGTGCGGAGACGCTGGTGGGATTGGTCGCAGGAATAGAGTGTGGATGTGAGTGATTTTTGCAGGGAAGTGGTGAGAATTAGGAGGGAAGTGTGGAGTGTTCGAAGGAGGAGGAAGCAACCTCTCGTGGGTGGGAGTTGTATATGAGAGTAAAATTAGATTGGGATCTGAGATTGAGGTGCGAAATCTGTGAGTGGGAGCTGAGATTGAGGTGTGACATCTGTGAGTGGGAGCTGAGATTGAAGTGTAAAATCTGTGAGTGGGAGCTGAAATCAGAGTGGAAGATCTGAGAATGGGAGCTGAGAGTGAAGTGAAATATGAGACTGAAATCTGATAGTTGGGATCTGAATTTGAAACTGAAAAGGGAGAGTTGAATCTGAGAGAGGAATCTGGTGGGGTTTGTAAGACCGGGTGTTGCACATATGTACTAAGTCTTAGAAGTGGTCAAGTGATTAAGGATGATTAGCCAAGGCATAGCTAAGATTAGCTAGTTATGACTAGATTAGTTAGTTATAACTAAGTTTATCTAGTCATGACTAAGTCTAGCTACAATGTCTATAGTTGGCGGAATAATTAGCGGAGTTCTAGAAGAATGAAGTGAGCACTTCTATTTTGTCTTTTACAAGGAGTGAGCATTTCTATTTTGTCTTATACAAAAGTTCTAGATTCCAAGTGATTAGATATTTGACTAGAAGCTTGGATTTGATTGGTTTGACTAAATGTATGAAAGATGATTGGCTAGGCTAAGTCTAATGTTGACTTAGTGGCTAGGAAGCTTGTAGAAGTTTAAAAGCTTCCAATGGCATGTCGCCACCTCAACCTTGGATTCTGGAAGCTTCTAAAAGGTTTAGGTAGGCCAATGGCATGTTGCCACGTAGAGAGTGTTAGTCAAACTTACCTAGGTAAAAGTAATTTAGTAGAAATTACCACATGTTACTATGGTAATTTCTCAAGTAGTATAAATAGAGAGGTAGAGTAGCACCTCTCAAGCAAGTTTGGAGAGTCATGTGTGAGGACTTGTTTCAGTAATGAAGGAGTGAAGTTTTTGAGTATCTTGGAGTATCGACGTGTGTTTGCGTTTATGTGAAGAGAGTGATGTGAGGAGAGTTTGTGTATGAGTTGGAGTGATACATGGAGAGTTTGTGAGAGAAGGTGTTTGGGATATGAGCGAGAGAATGAATCCTAGTCTTCTAGAACCATGATGCGCTACCACAAAGCCATCAGAGGTAAACCTAAGTGAGAGTCAGCCCGGAGGTTGCAGGTCTGAAGGTGGAAGCTGAGAAATCGACACTGAAATCTGAGTAGGAATTGGGAGTGGGACTCGGAGCTAGGATAGACCACAGCGGCCGTGGTATTGAGAAAGTCACCCAGAGGTGGGTTAGATCTTTATGTAACAAAGAGCTTGTCTGCTGCTCTTGTGGAAATAGGAGACAGCAAGTTATATTCTGGATTATTTTCTGGATCCAGAATATAATCCAGAATTATATTCTGGATTAATATAATTCTGAAATTATATTAATCCAGAATATAATTTCACAGACAAATTATATTCTGGATAATTTGTCTGTGAAAGAGCAAGTGTTTATGATCTCATTGTCTTGAATACACTTTGACCACATGGTTGAGATCAGAGAAGTTAGATTATGGGAGCTCGAAACCCCCACCTGGACTGCAAACGCGGAAGGGTGGGGAGTTTAGGCTCACATAAAATGGTGCGTCTGCCGGGAGCCTGATCTTGTAAATGTAGAATATGACTAGGTCGCACAAACCAAGCCTGGAGCCAGGACTAGAGAAACCCGTTCGCAGTAGGAAGAAACCTAAGAATAAGGAAATTGAGGAAGAAATTAAACTTGTGATATTTCTGAATGTGGACCTTGTTGATGAGTCTTTGTTAGAAGCTTTAGAGAAAACTTGCAACCTTGAGGATAGTGGTCACTCTGCAAGCGTAGGTTGTCAAACGTCTGCTAAGATTTACCCGAGGAGAAAAGTGATTGTAGAACTTGACAGTGAGAAGTCGGTTGAGGAATCTGCTAGCATGGCTGACGATGGAGGGAGAGCATGGCCTCCTCCTAGTCCTCCCATAGACCCACTCGTGAGGCCAAGAGGCCTTCCTATTCAAGTTCCACATAATTTGGCAACTGTGGTCATGCCACCCAATCTGCCTAAGTTCTATGGTACGAAGGATGAGGATCCTTCAAGGCACATGGAAAGATATGTTGAGAGGCTAGCCAGCTCTCTGATTATAGATCCAGGTTATTGTTTGGTCTGGTTTCCTACTACCCTGGAAGGTGAGGCGTATGAGTGGTATATGGATCATTTTGAAGGTCATTTTGGGGGATGGGACCAGATGCAGAGGGAGTTCTTGAATGAGTTTAGGCTTGAGGTGGGGCAGGGTTCTGCATTAAGAGCGTTGGCATTGTTAAAACAGGGAAGGGAAGAGGAAATCTCAACTTACATTATAAGATTTGATCTTGTCTGTGCATGTTTTGTGGGTACAATGCTCAATGACGATACGCTGAGACAATTTTTTATCCAAGGGTTTTTCAAAGCTGGGACCATCAGAGGTGTATTAGAGAGAAGCCCTCAAACTCTTGCTGAGGCCAAGATGGCTGCTAGAGAGATAGAGAACATTGACAAGGACTATGATAGATTGTGGAGGAAGGAGGATGAATCCATTCCTCAGTTCATCCCAAT